TTGCTTTGTTTCCTGGTTTTTCATAGATTTCATATACAAATTTAAGTTGCTAAAAGAGAGCTTTGCAGATGCCAAATGTCATTACATAACTATTAATGCTTGAAAAAATACAATTTTCTAAGTAGTTATTTAAATAACTATTTTTTCCTAGTGTAAAGAACATTTTGTGTAATAAAAATCTGTGTGTGTAGCTATAAACACTGAGAGAACAATACTGAGGTAAAGTTGGTTTTATATTCGCACATTCAGACTTCTTGACGTGCATTTTTCAATTTACATTATCATTTTAAGACCTGTTTATAATCAGTATACTGGACATTTTGAGTATCTTGTGTTTTGCAGCAATCTTATCATGATTGTGCTTTGAGAATATCATCTGAGGCACGGATGATGAGACCGCTTCTGAAGAAATAATTATAAAAGAGTTCAGTGAGTTCAGGGTATTTTACACACCTGTCAACATTGGGATGTGAAAATAAGGGATATGCCCACCATAATAAGGAACCCCCACCCCTTTAAAATATCCCCAAATTACTAAATATGCTAATTTTGGAGCTGTTTCGTTGTAAAAAGTTAAATGGTCAGTAAGATGTTTTATTGATAATATTTACAAAGAAAAAATAAATAGTATACATTAGCAGCAAATACATTAGCAAACAGTTTAGCTTATTAAAATTAATAGCTGTCATAATGTAATAGAATCAAGCTATGAATCATTAAGCATTTCTTTATTGTATAACTTAAACCAACGAATGAATCTTTTATTTATTTAGATTTTCTTTGTTTTATTACATTAAATAGCAGGTGTCACTTTAAAAATGCACACATCTAACGTTATATCACGCACCGCTATATGAGCGTTTTGAGGATTACAAATAAACGGGCAACTGCACCTGTAATGGAAAGGAAAGGGAATCCCGCCATTTTTAAATTTATTTCAAAGTGTTTTCCTGCCAAAACAAAGCAAAAGCACAGAACAGACTCACATTTAAGAGCAAGGGGCGGCCCCTGGTGGTCCGGTGGTATGGGTTGCGTATAGAGAGGATCGGCTCTTTAATGTTTATTTACCACCCTTCAGAGAAACACTGAAAATACGGGAGAAATACAGGAAAATACTTTTATCAGATTATAGCGGGAGAGAACTGTAAAATACGGGAGAATCCCGGGAAAAGCGGGAGGGTTGACAGCTATGTATTTTATGATTTCAGGTTATTTACAGTAAGTGACTGCTTACAGCTAAACCTGTTTCTCAAGTATGTCAGCTGGGTGAGACAGAATCTGTGGACCTTTGTGCTATTTCTGTGCAATGTGGAATTATTTTGAGATAGTAGGAGCTGAAATTGTAGGAGCTGAAAACCTAACACACAGACTAAAAAATAAATGAACTTCTATTTAAGGTTTACAATCAAAATCCAACTAAAACCACTTGTTTGCTAAACAAAACCACAGTCGATCTCTCAAATTATATATTAACTTAAAGACATCTTGATCATTTTCATCCGCTTATCTGGGGCCAGTTCATGGTGTCAGCTGTCTCAGGAGAGAGAACCATAGATATTTACATTAGATGCCTACCCTGTTGTTGTCTATTAGAACGAATGCGTCAATAGAGCCGCCATTTTTGTACAGGGTAGCGCTCCATTGAAATGAAGACGAGACTAAGCTGCAGTGGAGAACTGTGGCCATCCAGAGCCAGAGAATTACACAAATATGCATTTATCTATGATCATTATGCAAATATTTTTTTTAAATTACGAATATTATAATTTTCCATCACTTTTCTGTATTGATGGTTAAGTGACTGCACGGGCATTCCGGAACGAGTGTTTGTGTGCATGGAAATGTATTATCCTCCCTCCCTGTTAAATTTGATCTAATCCATGTCCTGAAACACACCTCTACTGCTTTCACTTCCCATTCTGACGGAGGGAGCGATTCTTTTGTGAATGAATCTGTTATGAGCGAATCGTTCTTAATGCCAATAACACAAGTTTCTAGCACTGCAGCATCTCGTTGTCATATTTCATTTGGATTGTTTGCTCATTTTATTCAACAAAATTACCATAAGCTGAGTATTTAGTGCAAGTTGGAGCTGCTTTGTCTTATGTTGAATACAGTAAGTGACTTTATTATCATCAATAACGTTTCAAGAGTTGCCACCTAGATATGCTTAGCGTTTATAGCAGGTTTGGCATGCTGTCTCGGGAGAGAACCCTGAGCTCGGACATATTTGAGCCCAAGGCTCCCGCCCGGTCAAATAAGCATATCGGGAGATCTGAGATCAGCTCCCCCTTGGAAAAGGGAGGAAAAGGTGGAGATGGGGTGGAAGGGGGGGGGGATTCTTCCAAAACAAAGAGAGAGCAGTAGGGAGAAAACAATCCATGTATTGTAAACTAGGATCACTCTGATTGGATTATTACTGATTACAGATGAGCGGCCAGTCGTGCTCAATCATATCACGGGCTCCTCTTGAAATTAGTTTATGAAACTTCGCTACTTGTTTTGCACAAACGCTTATAACATATAAAAAGGTAAAAAACGAAATCTAACCCATGAAATGTTCTGCCTTTGTGCTTTGTTTTCTTTGTTTGCTCGTTACTACACCCATACACAGCGCTGTCCAGTATCTTCACATTGTCACACTGTCTTGACTCGTGACACTTGTCCTGGAAGCACTGTACAAATGTGGTGGCGCCATTGACACATGCTCAGGGTCCCTATGTGATATCTAGTGTATATATATATATGAGAGAGAACCCCAGATTCTCCACAGACACCTCCTCCAGCTCCTCCTGGGGAATCTCGAGGCATTCTCAGGCAAACCAAGAGAGACATAGTCACTCCAGCTGGTCTTCTCCAAGGCCCCTTTTCCAGTGGACATGCCTGGAACATTCTCCTAGGTAGGTATCCAGGAGGATCTTGTCCTTTAATCATGACCCTAAGCTCATGACCATAGGTGAGAGTAGGAACATATCAGTATCATATATGTCAGTAAATCCAGAGCTTTGGCTATCAGCTCAGTTCCTTCTTTACTACAACTGACCAGACAAACAGAAACCCTGCCGGAGTCCATCATGCACTGGGAACAAGTCTGACTTATTGCCAGCAATGTGAATCCAACACCTGCTCTGTTCATACAGGGAATGGACAGCCCCTAACAGAGCGCCTCCGACCCCATACTCCCAAAGCAAACACACAGAATGCCATGGGGTACATGGACGAATGTCTTACCCAAGTCCAGAAAACACATGTGGACTGGTCAGTCATACTCCCATGAACCTTCTATCACGACTAGTATCGGTGTAGATCTGACCCAGTGTTCTACATCCTTGACAAAATCTGCATTGTTTCTCGTTTAACCATTGGCCAGATCCTCTCCAGTACCCCGCCATATACTTTTCCAAGAAAGCTGACTAGTGTGATCCCCCTATAGTTGGAACAAACGCTCCAGTCCCCCCTCTAAAAATGGGAACCACCACCACCACAGATGCCCAGTCTAGAGGAACTATCGACTTCCACACAATATTGCTGAGGTAAGGTTGCAGACTACCTCAGTGACTTCAGCTTGGATGATTGGGTAGGTAGCTCCTGCAACCCTGGTCTCTGCTTCTTCAATGGAAGGCGTGTCAGTGGGACTGAGGACACACATTCCCAGTTGAGGTCAACAGCTCCTCACTTCCACTATGATCAGTGTTAGTGTGGAACTGCTTTCCCTTCCTGAGGCACCGGATTGACAGAATCTCTTAGAGGCTGACTGGTAGTCTTCCTTCATGGTCTCCCCAAACTCTTTCCAGTTCTGAGTTTTTGCTTCTGCAACTACCTGGCTGGAGCATTCTTGACCTGTCTGCAACCATCAACTGCCTGTAGGCTGAAACTACAGCGAGAGACCTATCCCCAAGCCACAGATGAGAGGGGGCGACCCTATTGTTCACCAGGGAAAACTCAAACACATAGTGGCCAAGTTTTGGAGCTATAATCAAGGCCAAACCAGCCAAATTAGCATAAAAACACTGCATAAATACGAAAGTAAATAAATAAATAGATTGTAAAAATCTGCATTAATCTGCTCATGTACATTCTGTGTGTGTCTAGTCATCAGGAAGAAAAATAAACTCTGTATTTGATTGTATGTGTGTTCCCACAGTAAAATGGCAGCAGCGAGTGTCTCCTGGGCCGAGGACCAGTTCACGTGTCCGGTGTGTCTGGACGTCCTGCAGGACCCAGTGACGATTCCCTGTGGACACAGTTACTGCATGAGCTGCATCACAGACTGCTGGAATCAGGAGGAGCAGAAGCGAATCTACAGCTGTCCTTTATGCAAACAGAGCTTCACTCCGAGACCTGCTTTAGCTAAGAATGTGGTGTTTGCTGAAATGCTGGAGAAACTGCAGAAGAGCAGACTCCAGACGGCTGCTCCTGCTTCTGTTCACACTGGATCTGGAGATGTGGAGTGCGACGCCTGCACTGGAAATAAGCAGAAAGCTGTGAAGTCCTGTCAGGAGTGTAGAAACTCTTATTGTCCAGATCACCTCCAACAGCACGAGAGTCTCTTCAGAGGTCGAGGACACAATCTGATGGAGGCCACTGGACGACTGCAGGAGATGATCTGCCCTCAGCATAATAAAGTGATGGAGATTTACTGCCGCACCGACCAGCGCTGCATCTGTATGCTGTGTTTGGTGGATGAACACAAACATCACGACACTGTGACAATCGTAGCAGAAAGGAGAGAGAAACAGGTACAGTATACTGCTTGCTGGATCCCTTTAATAACATGTTTTTTTCCATCCCATCAGAGAAACTTGTGAGTTGTGGTAGTTTAATGATATTTGTCTGCAGGGACATTTGGAGGAGAACCAGGCGTACTTACAAATATTAATCCTTAAGCGAGAGAAAGATCTTCTTAAGCTGAGAGACGCTGTTGACATTCATAAGGTGAGAAAAATAAACTGGATGGAGATTCTGTCATCATTTCTTTGAAATTTGTTCTTTAATAAACACAAGGAGATGTTTAGATTAATGTTCAGGCTGTTCTTATCAATAGTTTTCACTGTCGGTAACTAAAGTGAATGAACTGAAAGTGATGAGTGTGTCCTGTACCAGCGCTCAGCACAGTCGGCAGTGGAGGACAGTGAGAGGATCTTCACTGAACTCATCCAGGATATTGAGAAACGTCGCTCTGAGGTGAATCAGCTGATCAGAGATCAGGAAAGAGCTGCTGTGAGTCGAGCTGAAGAACAACTGGAGCGACTGAAGCTGGAGATCAATGATCTGAAGAGGAGAAACACTGAGCTGAAGCAGCTTTCAGAAACACAGGATCATCTTCACTTCCTCCAGGTATTTATGTGTGTGTGATGTAGAACAGATGAAGAATGAGTGACGGTAACAAGCTTCTGTACTTATAGAGTGTTTGTGTTTGTGTAGAGTTGCCCGTCTGACACTTTCTCTGGATCTTCAGATTCAGGCTTCACTGTCAGTTCTCATCTGTGTTTTGATGATGTGGTGAAATCAGTCTCTCAGTTCAGAGACAAACTGCTGCAGTTCTTATCAGATGAGACCGAAGAGATCTCTAAAGAAGGTAAATAGAACCAGAATCAGAAAGAGTGTATTGCCAAGTGTGCTTGCACACAAAAATGAATTTGTCTTAGATAGAAGTCAGAGAGTACAAAAATTTCAATCATAGTGCTGACAAAAATAGAGTGCAATGTGCATATGAGTTCATTAAAAGTGGTTCAGAGGGGAACTGGCCTAGGGAGGGGGGGCAGCTCTTCTTGTGTCTGGCTATTTTGGTGCACAGAGCTCTGTAGTGCCGACCATAGGGCAACAATTCAAAGAGAAAGTGGGCCGGGTGTGAGGGGTTCAGAGTGGTTTTCTGAGTCCTTTTCCTCTCTCTGGAGATATGAAGATCTTGGAGTGTGGGCAAGGGGCAACTAATAATCTTCTCTGCCAAACAGTTATAGAGCACAGGGCAGAATCTCTGACAGCAGAGTAGAACTGTTTCAGCAACTCCTGTGGCAGGAGGAACTTTCTCAGCTGCAGAAGAAATACTGCCTCAGCTGGGCCTTTTTGAGTCAATGTGAGTGTCCCACTTCAGGTCCTGAGAAATGTGAAGGGAGCCTTGTCAAGTATGGCTTTTTTCTCATGCTCGAAAATGTTACTCTGCTTTTAAAACATCTCACATACAGTGAGCATACACCCGGAGCTATTGCTTCCAGTGTTGTTTTTTTCAGTGGCACCTCAGCTGGGTGACGAAGGTGGAGAGAGTGTGGTTTATTTGCTCCTCTGGTCCTACACTCCTGCCGGGACCAGGAAATTAACCTGTAATCTGTAACCCAACTATGCTAACCCACTTCTCCCAACTGGTGTGAATTTCACAAAGAAAAGGGGTGTTTCTCTACCGAGCTGTTTAACTCCAGGTTGTGACTGCACTAGAAATCCAGTTAACTGAAGTCCTCAAACAAGATCCTTGCATAATTCCCAGTTCTGCCAAGGTGTTGCAGAATATGATCCTGTGCTGACTGCGTCATCCATAGACCTGTTTGCTCTGTATTCAAACTGAAAAGGATCCAGCAAAGGTCCAGTGATGTCCTTCAGGTTGGGTAAGACTAGTCTCTAAAATCACTTTAAAATCAAAGACATGAGAGGAACAGGTCTGTAATCATTGAGTCTAGTGATTTGGGGGTTTTTGGGGGTCGGAATGATAGTGGAGAATTTAATGCAGCAAGGAGCACAGCTTCAGTGATTTATTGAAGATCTGTGTGACCACGGGGGCCAGTTGTTTAGCACAGACAGGCAGGAGAAACACCACCTGGGCCTGAAGCTTTTTTAAGTCTGTTTTTTTTTTTAAGTCCCGGCCCAGTTGCTTTATTGGTCCACAGTTTTACAGTGCTCATTACAGGTTATGAGGATTTTAGTTTCGGCCTGTAGGTTGGTATTAGATTAACCAAACAATGATCAGAACGTTCCAAAGCTACACATGGGACAGAATGCTATGCATCTTTTATTGTGGTGTAGCAATGATCCAATATTACAGTGGGACATGTAATATGCTGTTTGTATGTGGAAGGTTTACAGTAGAGATTTGCATTATTAAAATCTCCCTGAAGTATTCAAAGAGAGTCCGAGTGGTCTTTCTTTGTTTAGAAATTTGTTCTGCCTGCCGTTGTAGCATTGTGTTCACACACACTACTCACACAAACCTCTAACAAATAACATAAATTATCAAAAATCGGCAGAAAATTGTCTGGTGTATGTTGTTTTATGTCCAATAGTTTGCCTCTGGTGAAACTGATGAGAATGACTAAACACGAAACAAACTAATAAAAACTGCAAAAGAATGGAAGAGGTCCATGTAGTTTATAAAAATTGATAAAAATGTTATCAGTTTATTCATTCATTTTCTACTGCTTGTCCGTGGCCGGGTTGCGGGGGCAGCAGTCTTAGGAGAGAACCTCAGACTTCCCACTCCCCAGACACTTCCTCCAGCTCCTCCAGGGGATCCAGAGGTGTTACCATGCCAGCTGAGAGACATAGTCCCTCCAGCGTGTCCTGGGTCTTTCCCGAGGCCTCCTCCCGGTGGGACATGCTTGGAACACCTCCCTAGGTAGGCGTCCCAGAGGTTTCCGAAACAGATGCCCGCCTCAGCTGACTTCTCTCGATGTGGAGGAACAGTGGCTCTACTCCTCTCGGGTGTCAGAGCTCCTCACCCTATTCATAAGGGTGCGCCCTGCCACCCGGAGAAGGAAATAAATTTCGGCCGCTTGTATCTGAGATCTTGTCCTTTCAGTCATGACCCAAAGCTCATGACCATAGGTGACGTAGATTGACCGGTAAATCGAAAGCTTTGCCTTTCAGCTCAGCTCCTTCTTTACCACAACAGACCAGTACATCGACCGCATTACTGCTGCCGCTGCACCAATCTGCCTATCAATTAACTGTTTCATCCTTCCCTCACTTGTGAACAAAACCCCAAGATACTTGAACTCCTCCACCTGGGGTAAGGACTTTTCTTCAATCTGGAGCTAGCAAACAACCTTTTTCCGGTGGAGAACCTTATTGCCAACTTATTGTTGGCAATGCAAACCAAACTCCTACTCTGTTCATACAGGGACGAGACGGCCCTTAACAGAGCGCCTCTGTCCCCATACTCCCAGAGCACCCTCCACAGAATGCCACAAAAGACATGATCGAATGCCTTCTCCAAGTCCACAAAACACATGTGGACTGGTTGGGCATACTCCCATGAACCCTCGAGCACCCTGGTGAGGGTATAGAGCTGGTCCAGTGTAACACGGCCTAGATAAAAACCGCATTGTTCCTCCTAGATCCGAGGTTCAATCATTGGCCGGATCCTTCTCTCCAGTACCCTGTCATAGATTTTGCCCGGGAGGCTGAGGTGTTTGATCCTCTTATAGTTGGAACACAGCCTCCGCCCCCCAGTCTTAAAAATGTGAACCACCACCCCAGTTGCCCAGTCCAGAGGTATTGTCCTCGACCTCCATACGATATTGTAAAGACGTGTCAGCCAAGACAGCCCCACAACATCTAGAGACCTAAGATACACAGGGTAAATCTCATTCACCCCCGCTGCTTTGCCACTGTGGAGCTTGCAAACTACCTCAGTGACCTCATCTTGGGTGATGGGTGAGTCCACCCCTGCATCCCCAGTCTCTGCTTCCTCAATAAGAGATATGTCGGTGGGGTTAAGGAAATCCTATAGTATTCCTTCCACCGTTCGACCACATCCCCAGTCAAGGTCAACAGCTCCCCACTTCCACTGTAAACAATGTAGATGTATAGCTGCTTTCCCCTCCTGAGGCGCCTCCATGGTCTTCCCAAACTCTTACCAAACAAATTTTTATTTTCGCAACCACCCGGGCTGCAGCACGCTTGGCCTGTCTATACCCAATTGCCCACTCGGATTCTGATCAGGGAGGCCGTTCCTCTCAATCACGCCTCTCCAGGTATCATTGTCATTACCCACGTTGGCATTAAAGTCCCTCAGTAGAACGGGTGGTGGTTGAAGGTTAGGACCACGACAACCCGAACGTCAGGCACGGAAACTGGCTTTTAATCAGATCAATCCATCTTTATTTTTATAGCCTTTTTTTACAGTGAACATTGTGTCAAAGCAGCTTAACATAGATCTAAGTTCTAGTAAATTAAAAAAGCTTCAGCTCAGTTGTCAATGAAATTAAATAGCTGTCATGAAAATAATGTTAAATAAAAAGTATTTTGATTTCTCTTGACGTGAGAATTCAACTGCAGATGTGTTTGGTTTTTATAGTGAAATCAGTCCAGGTCATTCAGACCCCTGAATGTCAAACCAGTGAGTCTCAACAGTTTCAACAACGTAAGTTACTATGAAAATGCAGTCACAGTAAAAAAAAAATCCAGTTTATTATTTCTTGTTGAATTTATTACTTATTTTGTCTTCATCAGGTTCTCATCATGTGGTGGAGTGCACATCTGAGGGCCCAAGAAGACTTCCTGCAAACCTTCCTAAGCCAAAGGAGTCCGAACCTGCACCCCCCACCGATCTAAACCCATATTGTGGGAGGAAATCCAAAACCTCTGCTCGCTACCCTGTAAACTCATTTTGTGGGAGACAATCCTTTCCCCCACCCCCCAACCCTTTTGACTCAAAATGGTGGATAAAGTCCAAAACTTCTGCCCCCACCCCTGAAAATCCATATCGGTGGATTAAGTCCAATCCTGAATCCCCCACCGCTGTAAACTTTTTGGGGGGAAGTGAGTCCAAACCCACACCCCCCACCCTTGTAAACAAATTTTGTACGAGAAAGTACAAGCCATCTGGCCCGCCACCCTTGTAAACTAATATTTGGGGAGGGAATCCAAACCTGCACCCCCACCCTTGTAATTACATTTTGACGTAGGCTGTCCAAACCCACTCCACTCCACCCCTGTAAATCATTTTGGGGAAGGGAGTCCAATCCTGGACCACTCACCCCTGTAAAGTATTTTAGGAGACGGAATACAAAACTTTCTGCCCATACCTATGTAAACACATTTTGGGAGAGGTAGTCCAAATCCTTAGACCCCTTCCCTGAAAACTCGTATTGTGAAGGGAAGTCCAATCCTGCATCCCAAACCCCTGTAGTCTAATTTTGGGGGAGGGTGTCCACACCATCTGGCCCCAGCCCTTGTAAACTTATTTTTTTGGGGGTGGAGTCCAATGCCCTTTGCCCTCACAAGTCTAAATTCATTTATGGGAGGAAGTCTTTGTTAACTAAAGATTAAATAAACAGTGGTTCTGAACGCCATGCATCAGTTTAAGAGATCATGAGGCGTCTTTTCTAATCAGAAATAACATTACAGACATTTATTAATCATATAAGAGTAAAATGTTTAAACAGATATAGTAATAAAGTAAGCTACTTATGAATGTTGGAAAAGATTCATTCATTTAGTTTCTTTTCAGCTTAGTCCCTTTATTAACCTGGGGTCATCACAATGGAATGAACCGACAACTTATCCAGCAGATGTTTTAAACAGCGGATGCCCTTCCAGCTGCAACCAAGCACAGGGAAACACCCATACACACTCATACTCACTCATACACTACGGCTAATTTAGTTCAGCCAATTCATCTATAGTGCATATGTTTGGACTGTGGCGGAAACCGTAGCACCCAGAGGAAACTCCACACAGAAACTCTAACTGACCCAGCTGGGACTCGAACCAGCGACCTTCTTGCTGTGAGACAACAGTGCTAACCACTGAGCCACCGTGCCACCCTGCTAAAACCCAAATTGACACAGGTACTAAAAGAATCTACTTCAATCATGAAACTATCAAAATGTCCACTGTTGCTGATATTAGAATTTTGTTTTCAGTAGCGATTTTAAAACTTTGATTGTCCTCGACTTTGCATATTATTAATCTGAGTACTATAGTATTAGTACCAGAGTACAGATGTAACACACTGATGAAATTTAGTTGTCAGTCATTGGTTTGTTAAAGATCCAATCCAGGGTCATTGCAGATACGTAATCAGTTCTACATTTTTGGGGACAGGGTAATACGTAACAGGAGGTTCGTCTTCTCGCAGTTTTCATTTTTGCTAATCCACCAGAGGTTGCTGTGTACACTTTTTGATGATGTCAAATTTCGCAATATACACCTCAGCCAACCAGGCCAGCTTCAAACTTGCTGTCAACTGACTGACCCACCCTCTTCCCTAAACCCAACCGATAGTATTTTCTTTTAGTGCAGCTGTAAAAGTGTCATCTGTAGTGGTTAAAATAGTCACAAATGTGTAACAGTACGTTTGTACTCTCAAAGCAAATTTGCAAATGTGTAGGTATTTTTTCTCTCTAGCACTTAAGACTTGTATCGGCAGATTTGAGCCGTTGTAGTAACATATATTTGTGTTTGGAAAAAAATATCTAGAAAAAATATATTTCAGAGAAAACATACCACATGCATGCATCTTTCTTTGTGTGGATACACATTCTAATCTGCAGATGTGCAAGTTTAGTGAGTGACCACATTTATAGATGCAGTTGTGTGAATGTGTTTTGCACTATGTTCACTACAGCAATAGTAACAAAATACATGAGCGGATAAGTTTCTTCATTTGTGATTCATCTACACTGTAAAAAGTAAAGGTGGTTGAAATACTCGGGTGAGGCAGTGGCGCAGTAGGTAGTGCTGTCGCCTCACAGCAAGGAGGTCACTTGTTCGAGCCTTGGCTCAGTTGCCGTTTCTGTGTGGAGTTTGCATGTTCTCCCTTCCTTCGCGTGGGTTTCCTCCAGGTGCTCCGGTTTCCCCCACAGTCCAAAGACATGCGGTTAAGGGGAATTGGGTAGGCTAAATTGTCCGTAGTGTATGAGTGTGTGTGTGAATGTGTGTGTGGATGTTTCCCAGAGATGGGTTGCAGCTGGAAGGGCATCCGCTGCGTAAAAACTTGCTGGATAAGTTGGCGGCTCATTCCGCTGTGGCGACCCCGGATTAATAAAGGGACTAAACCGACAAGAGAATGAATGAATGAAATACCCAGTTGAGTAGTCAAGGAACTTTAAAATGTATATTAAGTGCCTCAAAGCTCTTTCTCTCAGAAAGGGGTTCCTTGAGGAACCACTGACGGTCTTTGCAGTCCTTGCAGGACCCTTTTGCTACATGGGATCCTTCAAGCACTTTTTGTCAATACTGAGGTTCTGGAGTCACTGTTTCCTTACACTAAGACCTCGGAGCACTTTGAAAGTTATTAGAGGAACTCAAATTCCAAAAAAGAGTTACTGTAAGATCTGTAAACTTATATAATGGTTGCTGGTGGATCTCTCATATAAAAGCTAGCACTTAAAGGAACCAAGAGATTTTGTGACAATTAAATAGGACAATTAGAGACCAGAAAATGAGATGCACATTCATTTACTTAATATTTACTTAGTTATTTGTGCTTTTTAGAATGATATAAAATTTGGTGTGTGTTTTTCTCTTTTGTGTGGCACTCACTGTGAACACATAAGAATATCATTGATTAGAGTCTAGATATTAACTTGCTTGCAGTAAGGAGACTGACTGGGAAATTGTGAAAAAATATGAAAAAGTAAAAGTAATTTTGGAGGGTAAAATGCTAATTAGTCTCAACAGAGAAACAAAAAGACAAAAACATGCATAGGCATGTACAATTATGAAAATGATAATTATTATGGGGGACTAATTAAGTTTCCTGTCACTTGACCTCATTAGCCCCTCGGATTTTGACATTTAAAACAACAATAATAACAACTGCTGCAATAATAATAATAGTTATAATAATAATAAACTATTGTTATCATTGTTAATATTATTATTATAAAAATAGAACTGAAAAATATTTAAGGTATTACTCAACTTTTTGGCGCAATAGCCTAGTGGGTAGCGCGTCGACATATGGTGCAGTAACATGTCAGGGTGTCCCGAGTTCTAATCCCGGCTCGAGGATATTTCCCTTGCCCTCTCCAACTTTGCTTCCTGTCTTAATACTGTCCTATCTAATGGAGGCAAAAAATTAAATCTAAAAAAAAAAAAAAAAAAAAAAAGATATATATATATATATATGGTTTATTAATGAAAAAGTATTCCTTGTTTGTTTTGATAAACCAACAAGTATAACTTGCTATGAATATTAGTATAATGAAAATATAATTATATAAATAAAGAAAATAATAATAGGATTTGTAGACCTGCACTTAAGGATTTGAAAAGGTGTAAATGTAGTGTTGTTGACTCGGCTGGGTTGTACACTTGAAAATTTGCTCTGTGAGTACAAATGTACTGATACACCTTTGTGGCTATTCTACAGATTATAAACTACAGATTACACTGTTACAGCTGCTTGGTATTTTTGCACCAGTTTGGGTGTAGCCTGACAGTAACATCTCAAACAACCTGTTTCTGAAAGTGATTCTTCCAGATCATCTGGATCTGTCCTATTTTTTAGATTCATATTCCCCCCACTGTTTCTGCCATTTTATTTTCACCCAAGCATAATTGAACATGCATTTCTCATGGTAAATATGGTTCTTAAAGCTCACCGTGCTAATACCTGCTGCTAATATGTGCTTTTTTTATTGTTGAAGCCTTGTTTATTAGTTAATAATATATTAATATGTAATAATATATAATCATATATTTTGTTATTTTATTAATTGACACAGTAACCTGCTTTCTCAACATTGATATTTTTTATATCTATGCATTTGTTTAATCCTGCAATGCCATGCATCAGTTTAATAGGTAAAAGGCGTCTTTTAAATCGGAAATAACATTACAGACATTTATTAATCACATAAGAGTAAAATGTATATTCAGATATAGTAATAAAGTAAGCTAATTATGAATGTTGGAAAATATTCAATCATTCAGTTTCTTTTCAGCTTAGTCCCTTTATTAACCTGGGGTCATCACAATGGAATAAACCGACAACTTATCCAGCATATGTTTTATGCAACAGATGCTCTTCCAGCTGCAACCCATCACTGGGAAACACCCATACACACATTCACACACATACACCATGGACAATTTAACCTACCTTAACCGGAGCACCTGGAGGAAACCCACGCGAACACGGGGAGAATATGCAAACTCACACAAAAATGCCAACTGACACAGCCGGGACTCAAACCAGCAACCTTTTTGCTGTGAGACGGTCGTGTTACCCACTATGCCACCGTGTCACCCATGTTGAAATATATGTGACCTTTATTTCGACTTGTTTGACTGTTCCAATAAAATAATAATAATTATATAAAACACACACAGTTGCAAGAATAAGTTTGTGGGCACTTTGAAATGCAGGGTTTTGTATTGATTTAATCTGACAACACTAACATCACAGTTTTTAACTTTTCACAAACGATCTACAGTGTGTCTTATTTTCAGGCTCTCCAATTATGTTTACTGCCTACACACTTATGTTACATTAAAAAAAAAACATGTGAGATTACTAATAAATTTGGCATAATTCACATGCATACATTTATTTGTTGGTTTTTCCTTCTTCTTTGTTTGTACATTTATTTCTACTCACATTTGTATTGGGACGATTGAGGCTAAAAGAGTTAAATACGACATGTACTGTATGTGCTGTGAGGAGTGGGCTGATAGATCACGTGACTATACGGGAAGCAGTAAGCAGTCCGTGTTTTTTCAGACACAGGTGAGTTTAGTCAAAATAATAACATGCGAGTTTATAGTTGCGCTTTTCTGACAGGATTTGTCTCTTTATTGAGGGTTCGTTTAAGTGACATTTCATAACTTTAGAGAGTCCAGTGCTAATGTTTGCTTTATGAGTTTCGTTTTGCTGAACTGGCTGAAGTCACAGCTAAATAAAAAGTAAGAAACAAACGTGTTTATTTTTGGTCAGTACAGTACAATATGTTTTATTTGTAGGTTAAAATTTTCAGTAGCATTGTATGTTAACGCTTGTGATAATAAAAAAACAACTTTACAAGAGTTTAGGAGACTGTACGCGCATGCGCTGTTTGTGTAAACTTTAAAAACAGCATTATGAGTTGTAAATATGAGCAGGCTAATATTAAGAATATAAATTTAACGTTCATTTATTTTCCTTTCGGCTTAGTCCCTTTATTAATTAGGGCTCGCCACAGCGGAATGAACCGCCAACTTATCCAGCACATGTTTTATGCAGCGGATGCCCTTCCAGCTGCGACCTATCTCTGGGAAACAACCACACACTCTCATTCACACATATACACTACAGACAATTTAGCTTATTCAATTCCCTTATAGTGCATGTGTTTGGACTGTGGGGGAAACCGGAGCACCCGGAGGAAACCCACGGGAACATGGGGAGAACATGCAAACTCCACACAGAAACGCCAACTGACCCAGCCGAAGCTCGAGTCGAACCAGCGACCTTCTTGCTGTGAGGCGATCATGCTCCCCACTGCGCCATCATGACGTCCTGTGTGTGAAATATATGAAACAAAAATAATGCCTAAAGTATTTAAAATAAAAAGCTCGTCGAACAGCAATAACTGAAAATATAATGCATTGAATTAGCCAGCGCTTGCATTTTCAAGAGTTCCCACTTAGATATGCTCAGCGTTTATAGCAGGTTTGGCATGCTGTCCCGGGAGAGAACCCTGAGCTCCCGCCCGGTCAATAAGCATATCAGGGGATCCGAGATCAGGTAGGTCTCGAGAGCTCCCCTTAGGAAAAGGAGGAGATGGGGTGGAAGGGGGGATTCTTCCAAAACGGAGATAGAGCAGTAGGGAGAAAACAATCCATTTATAGTTAGCTTGGGTCACTCTAATTGGATTATTACCGATTACAGAGGAGAAGCCAGTCATGCTCAATCATATCACCTGCACCTTTTGAAATTAGTTTGTGAAACTTCGTGACTTGAATTGCCAAGGTTTTTATTTTTAGGTCCTGGAATTTAACTTAGCTGTTTATTTAATCTGTGAATTTTTTAACAAACACATTTCACATTTTCAGACTTAAATTCAATATTTCATATTCACCTTCTGGAATGAGTTTCCTAAATTTTCAGTTAATCTGCAATATATTGCCTGCTATGTCATGTATTTTAACAGCCGAATTTGAGCCACTAAATTTATGGAAGGGAATTTATTTAACTGTAATGAAATGAACTGAATATTGCCTTTTTGAATAATATACAGTTTAAGTAGAACTGAGTATTTTGGAAGTGAAGTCTGGAAGGTGAATATGAAGTATTGAATTTAAGCATAAAAGTGTGTGTGATGTTTTCACAGCTTAAATGACTTGCTACGTTAAATTTCAGAACCCACAAATACAACCCTGACAATTCAAATCATTCCAACGAAAGCACTTGTTAATTCAGTGCATTGTTTTTTCTCAGTTTATCATATTCCACAAGATTTTATTTTTTACACACTTCAGGCATTATTTTATTCGATACAACGAATATAGCAGAGAACTTAACAGGCAAAATAGTAGTCTATAATAAACAAAGGGTATTTGTCATCTATTATAACTGCTGGACGATGAGTAAAATCTAAATGTGAGTAAAGGAATAAGAACCTACAAATAATTGTGTGTGCTCTTTATCCGTGTGTTCCCACAGTACAATGGCAGACGGTTGTGTTACAGTGGATCAGAACCAGTTTATGTGTCCGGTGTGTCTGGACCTCCTGCAGGACCCAGTGACGATTCCCTGTGGACACAGTTACTGCATGAGCTGCATCACAGACTGCTGGAATCAGGAGGAGCAGAAGCGAATCTACAGCTGTCCTTTATGCAAACAGAGCTTCACTCCGAGACCTGCTTTAGCTAAGAATGTGGTGCTTGCTGAAATGCTGGAGAAACTGCAGAAGAGCAGACTCCAGATGGCTGCTCCTGCTTCTGTTCACACTGGATCTGGAGATGTGGAGTGCGACGCCTGCACTGGAAATAAGCAGAAAGCTGTGAAGTCCTGTCAGGAGTGTAGAAACTCTTATTGTCCAGATCACCTCCAACAGCACGAGAGTCTCTTCAGAGGTCGAGGACACAATCTGATGGAGGCCACTGGACGACTGCAGGAGATGATCTGCCCTCAGCATAATAAAGTGATGGAGATTTACTGCCGCACCGACCAGCGCTGCATCTGTGTGCTGTGTTTGGTGGACGAACACAAAAATCACGACACTGTGACAATCACAGCGGAAAGGAGAGAGAAAAAGGTACAGTATACTGCATGCTGGAACTCATCAATGACACTTTATTTTCCTTCAATCAGAGAAACCTCTGAGCTGTGGTGGTTTAATGATATTTGTCTGCAGGAACATTTGGAGGAGAACCAGAGAAACTTACTAATAATAATCCAGAAGAGAGAGGAAGATCTTCTTAAACTGAGAGACGCTTTTGGGATTCATAAGGTGAGAAAAATAAACTGGATGGAGATTCTGTCATTTGTTTTAAATCCATACTTTATGGAAGACAAGGAGATGTTTAGAAGAATGTTCAGGCTGTTCTTATCAATAGTTTTCACTGTTGGTACTAAAGTGAATGAACTGAAAGTGATGAGTGTGTCCTGTACCAGCGCTCAGCACAGTCGGCAGTGGAGGACAGTGAGAGGATCTTCACTGAACTCATCCAGGATATTGAGAAACGTCGCTCTGAGGTGAATCAGCTGATCAGAGATCAGGAAAGAGCCGCTGTGAGTCGAGCTGAAGAACAACTGGAGCGACTGAAGCTGGAGATCAATGATCTGAAGAGGAGAAACACTGAGCTGAAGCAGCTTTCAGAAACACAGGATCATCTTCACTTCCTCCAGGTATTTATGTGTGTGTGATGTAGAACAGATGAAGAATGAGTGACGGTAACAAGCTTCTGTACTTATAGAGTGTTTGTGTTTGTGTAGAGTTTCCCGTCTGTTTCTCTCTCTGGATCTTCAGATTCAGGCTTCACTGTCAGTTCTCATCTGTGTTTTGATGATGTGGTGAAATCAGTCTCTCAGCTCAGAGACAGACTGCTGCAGTTCTCCTCAAATATGATAGAAGAGATTTCTAAAACAGGTGAATACTGATATGTTTTCAGACGAGTTAATTGAGAAATCAAGAATATATTAGTAGTTTAATGTTGATTTTGTCTTGCTGTGTGAGTTAAACTGCAGATGTGTTTGATTTCCATATAGTGAAAACAGTTCAGGTCACTCAGACTCCTGAAGATCAGACCAGTGAGGAGTTTCAACAACGTAAGTTACCATGAAAACACAGACAGTCCAAAAATACAACAGAGTAGTTTAATACTTTTAATTAAATTAAGTCTTATTCTATCTCTATCAGATTCTCATCCAGTGTTGGAGGGGTCTTCTGACGGCCCAAAGATCCCAAATCCAGTAAACCTTCTTGAGCCAAGGGAGTCCAAATGCTTGTCCCCCTCCACTGTAAGCTCATTAAGCTTTGGAACCACCTCCTCTGTAAACCCACCTAGCTTTAGAACCACCACCTCTGTAAACCCAGCTAGCTTTGGAACCACCACCTCTGTAAACCCACCTAGCTTTGGAACCACCTCCTCTGTAAACCCACCTAGCTTTAGAACCACCACCTCTGTAAACCTACCTAGCTTTGGAACCACCTCCTCTGTAAACCCACCTAGCTTTGGAACCACCACCTCTGTAAACCCACCTAGCTTTGGAACCACCACCTCTGTAAACCCACCTAGCTTTGGAACCACCACCTCTGTAAACCCACCTAGCTTTGGAACCACCACCTCTGTAAACCCACCTAGCTATGGAACCACCTCCTCTGTAAACCCACCTAGCTTTGGAACCACCTCCTCTTTAAACCCACCTAGCTTTGGAACCACCTCCTCTGTTAACCCGCTTAGCTTTGGAACCCCCACCTCTGTTAACCAGCTTAGCTTTAGAACCACCTCCTCTGTTAACCCGCTTAGCTTTGGAACCCCCACCTCTGTTAACCCGCTTAGCTTTGGAACCACCTCCTCTGTTAACCCGCTTAGCTTTGGAACCACCTCCTCTGTTAACCCGCTTAGCTTTGGTACCAACACCCCTGTATTTGGAACCCCCACCCACCATAATTTTGGCAGAGGTAATCCAAAGCCTAAATAAACATTAGTATTAGTTTTACATTAAAATGTACATGTGCATATTTACATATAAATTTGCTTTATTATAAAAAGCTTTAGAAATTTCCTGTTTTTAGCTGTTTGTGAACTTACGTTATTAAAATCAGTTGCCTGATTTTGATTGATATAATAATATTTAAGTTGTCTTGATAATCATTTAATGCATCAGAAGTGTTTTTTTTTATTTTGTGCGTGCAAATAATTTTTCATCTTGACTCCTTTTAAATCCTTGAGCAACACAAAGCTGGACCACTTTGATGATGGACTTTGGCTGAGGGATTTTATGACCGGCGAATACTAGAATATCCGTTACTGCCATCTCACTGCTACCATTTTTATCATAACATGGTCTGTTAAAACAAAACCACATTGCTTTTCTGATGAGCAAGCTGGAATTTATTACATTTTATTATGTTACATTTGTTCTTATTGGATTAAAATGTTTATTCCACTGAGTTGTTCATGTTTATAAGCATGTTTATCTACATTCTACATTAATAACTGAGGTCAATATCAGGCAATGATGAAGGATAACACAAATATTACTGCTCTATGATGATTTGAAGTGTTCATTTGATTCACATTTGTACGCCACTTTGAATAAAAGCGTCTGCGAAGTGAATCAATGTATAAATTCATTCATGACATAAGTGTTTGTTTGTTTGTTTGTTTGTTTGTTTGCTATAAAATCAGTTTAGTTTCTCTCACATCATCCCAGCCAATAAGATTTGCCTGCTTCTGCCAGAATGTTTCAGATGCCTTAAAGTCCCCATTAAATCTTTGGGTTTTATAGCTGTTAGTTTTTTTTTTCAGTATTATATCTTAATCTAGTATACAATATCAACTAGCATTAGCATTTTAAAACATTATTTTACGCTTTATTTAGACACAATGAAATGTACACTTTATGTAATCTAATATACATGTGATTGTGCACTTTAAATGTACAGAATGTCTTAATACACTTGTTAGTTTATGAGGAGCTCATATATAGGTAGATCTGTTTTTGTTAGCATTTGTTGGCTGTGTTTATCCAGTCATTATGCTCAAATGTGTATTGGGGCGATTTAGGCTAACAGAATGAAGTAAGACATACGTGAGCAGATTAAGTAATACATCATCCTGTTATTATATCACAGGCTGATAGATCACGTGACTTCACAGGAAAGAGTGAGCAGTCCGTGTTTCTACAGATACAGGTGAGTTTAGAGTCAAAATAATAACACACGAGTTTGTAGTTGTGCTTTTCTGACAGGATTTGTCTCTTTATTGAGGGTTCATTCAAGTTTAAGCGCCATTTCATAACTTTTGAGAGCTTAATGTTTGCTCTATGCTAATAATTCTGAGTTTCGTTTTTGCTGGCTACAGCAAAGTGAAAGTAAGAAGAAATCGTGTTTCATTTCCTACATGACTGTCTCTACTTCTGTTTCGCTTGTCGCTTTTACTTTTCAATAACACTGTAGGCTGATGCATGCGATTTTTAAAAACGATGTTACAAAACATCTTTACATGCATGTGTGTAAAACAACAGCATTATGAGCTTTACATATGATTTTAAGAATGACAGTAGATTAATATTTTAAATAATAACTGAATTTTTTTTAGAAACGTCATATTTATTAAAAGTAAAATGTGTGTCTGTACCCAGCAAGCATGTTTTGTTTTTAAAAGATGTCTGATAGAACTGTAATAGTCTAAACATAGTAGTCTTGCCTAAAACAAGGCTAAATTTGGGCTGTCCATGAATATCTAATATGTGTCTAAGAATAGGCCAAAACTAGACTAGTCATCAAATAAACTGAAATGAATGACTACACATGTAAAGTCTGTCTAATCTGTCTTAATTGATAACTAGCCTAGTTTTGAGCTATTCTTAGATGTCTGTTAGATTTTCACTGACAACCCAAATTTAGCTTTGTTTTAGCCAAGCTGTCTACATTTAGACGTCTATTAAACACTAAATTGTTTGCTGGGTATCTAAACGATCATAAGCAGAAGAATGATCAAATAGAGAAGAGTCACAACACTGTTTGCATTTCCTTCAGTTTCTCAGACAGTCTTTTGTGGAAACACACAATTTTAATATAATAAGCCCAAATCTATCAGACACCCGCCCACAATTATATGTGTATATATATGAAAACACTCAAATCAAATGTTGCATCTCTGTGTGTGAAGTGAAAAACATCACTCTAAAAATATGAATACATAAAAACCTATTGATATTGGTTATGTACTATTATTGATAGACGGTGACTAAAATCTAATATAAGCAAAAGGAATATGAATCTACACATAATTGTGTGTACTCTTTATCTGTGTGTTCCCACAGGGAAATGGCAGCAGCGAGTGTCTCCTGGGCCGAGGCACAGTTCAAATGTATGGTGTGTCTGGACCTCCTGAAGAGTCCAGTAACGATTCCCTGTGGACACAGTTACTGCATGAGCTGCATCACAGACTGCTGGAATCAGGAGGAGCAGAAGCGAATCTACAGCTGTCCTTTATGCAAACAGAGCTTCACTCCGAGACCTGCTTTGGCTAAGAATGTGGTGTTTGCTGAAATGCTGGAGAAACTGCAGAAGAGCAGACTCCAGACGGCTGCTCCTGCTTCTGTTCACACTGGATCTGGAGATGTGGAGTGCGACGCCTGCACTGGAAATAAGCAGAAAGCTGTGAAGTCCTGTCAGGAGTGTAGAAACTCTTATTGTCCAGATCACCTCCAACAGCACGAGAGTCTCTTCAGAGGTCGAGGACACAATCTGATGGAGGCCACTGGACGACTGCAGGAGATGATCTGCCCTCAGCATAATAAAGTGATGGAGATTTACTGCCGCACCGACCAGCGCTGCATCTGTGTGCTGTGTTTGATGGATGAACACAAACATCACGACACTGTGACAAACGCAGCGGAAATGAAAGAGAAACAGGTACAGTATAGTGCTTGCTGGAACTCATCAATGACACTTTATTTTCCTTCAATCAGAGAAACCTCTGAGCTGTGGTGGTTTAATGATATTTGTCTGCAGGAACATTTGGAGGAGAACCAGAGAAACTTACTAATAATAATCCAGAAGAGAGAGGAAGATCTTCTTAAACTGAGAGACGCTTTTGGGATTCATAAGGTGAGAAAAATAAACTGGATGGAGATTCTGTCATTTGTTTTAAATCCATACTTTATGGAAGACAAGGAGATGTTTAGAAGAATGTTCAGGCTGTTCTTATCAATAGTTTTCACTGTTGGTAACTAAAGTGAATGAACTGAAAGTGATGAGTGTGTCCTGTACCAGCGCTCAGCACAGTCGGCAGTGGAGGACAGTGAGAGGATCTTCACTGAACTCATCCAGGATATTGAGAAACGTCGCTCTGAGGTGAATCAGCTGATCAGAGATCAGGAAAGAGCTGCTGTGAGTCGAGCTGAAGAACAACTGGAGCGACTGAAGCTGGAGATCAATGATCTGAAGAGGAGAAACACTGAGCTGAAGCAGCTTTCAGAAACACAGGATCATCTTCACTTCCTCCAGGTATTTATGTGTGTGTGATGTAGAACAGATGAAGAACAAGCTTCTGTACTTATAGAGTGTTTGTGTTTGTGTAGAGTTTCCCGTCTGTTTCTCTCTCTGGATCTTCAGATTCAGGCTTCACTGTCAGTTCTCATCTGTGTTTTGATGATGTGGTGAAATCAGTCTCTCAGTTCAGACACAAACTGCTGCAGTTCTCCTCAAATCAGATGAAAGTGATATCTGGAAGAGGTAAATACTGAACTATTTTTTTTAGAAAAATGTTCATGGAATATAAAAATAAAATAAAATTGCTGTAAACTTAATCAACTGTTGTGCCAAAGCAAATTGATAGAAAAACTTATATCATGCATGTTGATGAACTATCAACATATAAAATCATGTGATGATGCAAGCTGAAGATTAGCCTGAATTGATAAAAAATATCATTTTTTTCTAAAATGTGGCGTAGGGTAAAGTAAGACATAAAACACAAGTTAAATTTAGTCTATCAGACTGCAGGACTTATGAATGAGGCCTTCATGTCAGCAGTGACACAACGCAACATCACTTCTGGATTTAGGTTAACTGGAATTTTTCCATATAACGGAGAAATTTTCCTTGATGAAGCATTTGCACCATCCATGGTGTCAGACTGGCCAAATTCTGAGCTCCAACCTGCCACTACTGAAGATTTGGATGATCTACACCCAGCAGGGGAATAATAGTTGGATAACAATCATGTAGAGGAGCATAAACCTAACCGTGAGCCTAAACTGAACATAAACTAAACGTATGCTTTAATTCTGATTGGCTGATTGGAATGATGTTCGAGGATCAAAATAATCTAATTTAAATTTCCTCTTGGGGCGACATGGTGGCTCAGTGTTGGCGTGGGTTTCCTCCGGGTGCTCCGGTTTCCCCCACAGTCCAAACACATGTGCTATAGGGGCATTGAATAAACCAATTTGGCCGTAGTGTATGAGTGTGAATGCAAGAGTTTACGGGTGTTTCCCAGTACTGGGTTGCATCTGGAAGGGCATCCGCTGTGTAAAACATATGCTGGATAGCTGACGGTTCATTCCGCTGTGGCCTCCCCTGATTAATAAAGGGACTAAGCCGAAGGAAAAAGAATGAATGAAGGAAATTTCCTCTTGAGATTAGAATTGATCTGTTTTTAATTTTATTTCCGTAGTGCAAACCATCCAGATCATCCAGACTACTGAATATCAGAACACAGAGGAGACTCAGCTAGGTAAGTTACCGGTGCTATTCAATATTATTGAAGACTTGCATCAGCTGCAAGAAATGGATCAAAATAATTGAAATTAATTTCTTAGAATGGATTAATCCTTTTTCACTAAAGTAACTGTATAATACAGTTCAAGAATTTAAAATGCATCTAATACCGAAATACAATAATCATCTATTAGTGATTCCACTTCATGATGTGAATGCTTTAACATAATTGATTGAGACGTTCAGAGAGACTATTTTTAAAAAGTCAAATGCGTAATATGACAGGCAATTGAGGATACACTGATGTTGCACTCATGTTCTTGTACTTCTAATCATTAAGATGCTCAGATAGCACAGAATGGAGATATCAGAGACTAAGGATGTTTGTGTATATATATACACACTACCTGACAAGAGTCTTGTCGCCTATCCAAATTTTAGGAACAACAAATAATAACTTGACTACTAGTTGATCATTTGGTATCAGAAGTGGCTTATATGAAAGGCAAAGACATCTAGATGACGCTTAATTGATCAAAATATAATATGATCATGCCTTGATTTTGAATGATTTCATTAGGACAGTAAGGTCTGACTCTGCTTAGGAGAAGGAGCGCTATCCGGCTGGAGAATTTGCCCTTTCCTGTGGTTTGTAATGTAATGGGCAGCACAAATGTTTTGATGCCACAGGCTGTTGATGTTGCCATCCACTATGCAGATCTCTCGCACAACCCCATACTGAATGTAACCCTAAACCATGAATTCTCCTTCACCAAACTTGACTTATTTCTTTGAGAATCTTGGCTTCATGTGGGTTCCAGTAGGTCTTCCAGTAGATCTCTCTATGTGTGATGATTGGGATGCAGATCAACAGATGATTCATCAGAACAATCCACTTTCTGATACTTTTACAAACGATCAACTAGAAGTCAAGTTATTATTTGCTTTTACAGTTGGAATTGACAGCAAGACTTTTGTCATGTAGTGTGTAATTGTTATAATGTTGGAATGAGTGAGCTGATAAAAAAGCATGGAAAGGTGATCCAGGGCAACAGCACATAGTGCAAACTCTTTTCTATAGTCGTCAATGTAAAGTTTGTATATTGGTTCAGTATGTCATTAGCAAAGGGAGTAAGATGATGCACATAGTGCCTGCATTACTTGAAGCTATGGAGAGATGGTATGGAAGGAGGGAGAGCTCTGAGAGCACATCACCCTGAATTAAACGAAATCATAAATATAACACTATATTTACTATGAACAGCATTTATTAAAAGTGTCAAGCCTGAATTTCATTTCAAAACAAAACAAACTAAATGTGTTTGTGAAACGTGCCATACAATTGTAAATTTCTCAATCAGTGCAAATCAAAATATGGTGCTTTTGATTTTCCTTACTTAATGTTAAATTAAGATCATAGTTACTAGAGGTAGTTGGGCTCACCTCCACTCACAGCTTGGGCTCTGGAACTCAACTTCTTAAAAAGGGCTGGACTTTCTTCTACTCTGGAGTTGCTCACGGTAAGAGGCTGCGGGCTGGTGTGAGCTTGCTTATAGCTCCCCATTTTAGCCGCCATGTGTTGGAGTTTTCCCCAGTGAACGAGAGGGTTGCCTCCCTGCCCCTTCGGGTCGGGGATAGGTCTCTCACTGTTGTATGTGCCTACGAGCCAAACACCAGTGCAGAGTACCCGGTCTTCTTGGAGTCCTTGGGTGGGGTGCTGGAAGGTGCCCAGACTAAGGACTCCATTGTTCTACTGGGGGACTTCAATGCCCACGTGGGTAATGACAGTGATACCTGGAGAGGCGTGATTGGGAGGAACGGCCTCCCTGATCTGAACCCAAGTGGTGTTTTGTTATTTGACTTCTGTGCTAATCACAGTTTGTCCATAACGAACACCATGTTCAAGCATAAGGGTGTCCATCAATGCACATGGCACCAGGACACCCTAGGGTGGAGGTCAATGATCGACTTTGTGGATGTATCATCTGATCTCCGACCGTATGTCTTGGACACTCGGGTAAAGAGAGGGGCAGAACTGATTACCACCTGGTAGGGAGTTAGATCCGCTGGCAAGGGGGAAAACTAGACAGACCTGGTAGGCCCAAGCGTATTGTGAGGGTCCTCTGAGAATGTCTTGCTGAACCCTAAGTCAGAGGGATTTTCAATTCTCACCTCCGGAAGAGCTTTGACCAGATCCCGAGGGAGGCTGGAGACATGGAGACTGAGTGGTCCATGTTCTCTGACTCCATTGTTAACGCGGCCGTGAGGAGCTGTGGTCATAAGGTCTGTGGTGCCTGTCGGGGCGGCAATCCAATGTCGACCATCGGGTTGTGGAAGTAAGGGATGCCGTCAAGCTGAAGAAGGAGTCCTAAAGGGTTTGGTTGGCTTGCAGGACTGCAGAGACAGCTGATGGGTATCGACAGGCCAAGCGTGCTGCAGCCCAGGCGGGTGCGGAAGCAAAAACTCTGACCTGGGAAGAGCTCGGGGAGACGATGGAGGAAGACTGTCGGTCAGCCCCAAAGAGATTCTGGCAAACTGTCCAGCGCCTCAGAAGGGGAAGGCATCTCCACATTGACGCTGTTTACAGCGGAAGTGGGGAGCTGTTGACCTCAACTGGGGATGTTGTCGGGCGGTGGAAGGAATCTTTTGAGGATCTCTTTAGCCCCACCCACATGTCTTTCATCGAGGAAGCAGAGACTGGGGGTGCAGGGGTGGACTCGCACATCACCCAAGATGAGGTCACTGAGGTAGTTTGCAAGCTCCGCAGTGGCAAAGCAGCAGGGGTGGATGAGATTCACCTTGTGTATCTTAGGTCTCTGGATGTTGTGGGGCTGTTGTGGCTGACACGTCTTCACAACATCGCATGGAGGTCGGGGACAGTAACTTTAGACTGGGCAACTGGGGTAGTGGTTCCCATTTTTAAGAAGGGGACCGGAGGGTCTGCTCAAACTATAGGGGGATCACACTCCTCAGCCTCTCGGGGAAAGTCTACGCCAGGGTACTGGAGAGGAGGATCTGGCCAATGGTTGAACCTAAGTTCCAGGAGGAACAATGCGGTTTTCGTCCGGGCCGTGGTACAATGGACCAGCTCTATACCCTCACCAGGGTGCTCGAGGGTTCATGGGAGTATGCTCAACCAGTCCACATGTGTTTTGTGGATTTGGAGAAGGCATTCGATCGTGTCCCACGTGGCATTCTGTGGAGGGTGCTCGGGGAGTATGGGGTCAGAGGCGATCTGTTGAGGGCTGTCTCGTCCATGTATGAACAGAGTAGGAGTCTGATTCGCATTGCCGGCAATAAGTCAGATTTGTTTCCAGTGCATGTTGTACCTTTGCAGGGCTGCCCCTTGTCACTAATTCTATTCATAATTTTTATGGACAGAATTTCAAGGCACAGCCTTGGGCTGGAGGGGGTCCGGTTTGGGGACCACAGAGATTTCATCTCTGTTATTCGCAGACGATGTTGTTCTGTTGGCTTTATCAGACATGGACCTTCAGCATGCACTGGGGTGGTTTGCTGCCAAGTGTCACACGGCTAGGATTAGTATCAGCACCTCCAAGTCCGAGGCTATGGTGCTCCACAGGAAAAAGATGGTTTCAAGACCCAGGACACGCTGGAGGGACTATGTCTCTCGGCTGGCCTGGCAATGCTCGGGATCCCTCCTGAGGAGCTGGAGAAAGTGTCTGGGGATGGGGAAGTCTGGGGTTCTCTCCTAAGACTGCTGCCCTCGCGACCCGGCCCAGAAAAGCGGCAGAAGATGAATGAATGAATAATGATAAGTTGCTTTAGAACAGAAAAGTTTAAAAAAAACTATGTGTAAGCTAAACACTTGCTGTTAAATGATTCCTGAATGTTATCCTCTAATGTGCACAGTCATATTCAATAAAAAGTACAATACAACAAAGCCAGAAAGTAAATAGTGAAGTAAATTAAAATGATGTATATATGAAAATAAATGTGTTAAGAAGCTATTACAAAACATTCTACTAGGCATAATAACCCAATATTTTAAAAAAATAAACTAATTGAAAATAAATGTATCAGTATTGGCAAGTACCAAAAAGAAAATATCAGTGCTAGACATATTCTGGAAAAAAAGTCAGTTCATTTGTTGTAATTATAAACCCTACTAATGTGTTATGTTAAAGATGGGATCTCAAGACTAATTGTGTTTCTCTCCATTAGATGCACATCCAGGACAGTTTGCAGCTGAGGTACTGAAGGACCCCAAACCCTCAACCCCTGGAAGTATATTTAGGCTGAGGGAGGCCAACCCAACACCCTTAACCCCTAAAAGTATATTTGAGCTGAGGCAGGCCAACCCAACACCCTCAACCCCTAAAAGTATATTTGGGCTGAAGCAGGCCAACTCAACACCCTCAACCCCTAAAAGTATATTTGGGCTGAGGCAGGCCAACCCAACACCCTCAACCCCTGGAAGTATATTTGGGCTGAGGCAGGCCAACCCAACACAGTTAACCCCTGAAAGTATATTTGGGCTGAAGGAGGCCAACCCAACACCCTCAACCCCTGGAAGTATATTTGGGCTGAGGCAGGCCAACCCAACAATCTCAACCCCTGAAAGTATATTTGGGCTGAAGCAGACCAACTCAACACCCTCAACCCCTAAAAGTATATTTGGGCCGAGACAGGCCAACCCAACACCCTCAACCCCTGAAAGTATATTTGGGCTCAGAGAGGCTAACCCAACACAATCAACCCCTGAAAGTATATTTGGGCTGAGGGAGGAGAACCCAACACCCTCAACCCCTAAATGTATTTTTGGGCTGAGGGAGGAGAACCCAACACCCTCAACCCCTAAATGTATTTTTGGGCTGAGGGAGGAGAACCCTACACTCTCAACACCTAAAAGTTTATTTGGGCTGTGGCAGGCCAACCCATCAACCTCAACCCCTGAAAGTATATTTGGGCTGAGGCAGGCCAACCCAACACCCTCAATCCCTGGAAGTATATTTGGGCTGAGGCAGGCCAATCCAACAACCTCAACCCCTGAAAGTATATTTGGGCTGAGGCAGGCCGACCCAACACCCTCAACCGCTGAAAGTATATTTGGGCTCAGGGAGGCCAACCCAACACAATCAACCCCTGAAATTATATTTGGGCTGAGGGAGGCCAACCCAAAACCCTCAACCCCTGAAAGTGTATTTGGGCTGAGGGAGACCAAGCCAACACCCTCAACCCCTGAAAGTGTATTTGGGCTGAGGGAGAACAAGCCAACACCCTCAACCCCTGAAAGTGTATTTGGGCTGAGGGAGAACAAGCCAACACCCTCAACCCCTGAAACTGTTGGATTGGACTGCCTCAGTCCAAATACACCCTCAACTGCTGAAAGTGTATTTGGGGTGGCGCAGTCAAACCCAACACCCTCAACCCCTGAAAGTGTAGTTGGGGTGAGGCAGTCCAACCCCAGCACCCTAACCCCTTGAAAGTGTATTTGGGTTGAGACAGTCCAATCCAACACCCTCGACTGCTAAAAGTGTATTTGGGATGAGGCAGTCCAACATAATGCCTTCAACCACTGAAAGTGCCTATGAGGCTGGGGCAGACCAACCCAACACCCTCATTCCCTAAAATGTATTTCAGATTGTGCAGGTCAACACAACACCCTCAACTGCTGAAAGTTTATTTGGGGTGAGGCAGGCCAACCCAACACCCTAAAACCTTGAAAGTATATATGGGGTGAGGTAGGCCAACCCCACACACTCAATTGTTCAAAGTGTATTTGGGCCGCCCCAGTAGACATATTTGGCCTGGGGGAATCCAACTTGACACCTACGACATATTTGGGCTTGTAAGAATTTTTTTTTTCCCGAACTCAGATATTCACAAAACAGATGCCATGTGATTTAAAACTAAAACTTTCCAACCTGAGAAGATGATCTGCAAGGAGACCAATGGTTCAGTCGTCTTTGTCACCAGCCCAAGGCCCGCTCTCCCACACAGAATAAATGATTATTGCATCATATTTCGCCACAGTTGTACACGTGTTGCTCTTAAAAGCGCGAAAGAGCTTATGTGTGTGTGCAGCACGATCACGCAGTCAGAAGCATGTGGCCGGTCAGTATTCACTCTCATTCACACACTGAGACGAGCAGAGGAGCGCAGACATCTAAAGTCATCTTAACGTGAGCGCTGTAATGGTCAAATAGGTGTCAAAACGCGTTGTTTAGTGATTATTTACATTAACACTCATTTGTGTAATAAACAAAAGAGTTGAGGATCAAAAGACGTGAAAGAGAAACCATTAAAGATACAGCGCGCTATAATCCTTCTGCCGCCTGTTTTTATTATTATTAAACAAACATAACGAGAAAACCTTTGCTGCTCTTGACTGAAGGACTGCTGTAGCTAAAGTGTTTTTCTTAGAGTGAAGATGCTTAAAGCACAGTTTGTTTAATATTTTATTCTATTGTATTTATTTCTCTTTCCATTGCAGGGTGGAAAATAACTGTATGTATACAGTTAAAGTCAGAATTATTAGCCCTCTTGAAAATTAGCAAATCTTTTCCTGCCCAATTTCTGTTTCATGGAAAGAATATTTTATTAACTTATTTCTGAACATAATAGTTTTGATATCTCATTTCTAATTACTGATTTCTTTTTGTCTTTGCTATAATGACAGCACATAATATTTTACTAGATATTTTTCAAAATACAAGCATTCAGATTAAAGTGCAGTTCAAAGGCTTAATTAGAGTAATAAGGCAAGTCATTATAACGGTAGTTTCTTCTGCAGACAATCAAAAATATATATTGCTTAAGGGGGCTAATAATATTGACCTTAAATTGGTTTCAAAATATTTAAACATGTCTTTATTCTAGCTAAAATAAAACAAATAGAAGAAAAAATATTATAGGAAATACTGTTAAAATTTCTTGCTCTGTTAAACTTAATTTGGGAAATATTTATAAAAAAATAAATAAATCTCAGGAGCGCTAATAATTTTGACCTTAACTGGCAATGGTTTTGAATAATCGTGATTACAATTATGACCAAAATAATCGTGATTATGATTTTTCCCAAAATCGAGCAGCCCAAAAAATAAAAAATAATCTAAACACATGCTTAAAATTCCAACATAATAGTGAAAATAATTAAAATAAATAACTTTAAATAATTATTTAAATTTTGCTCACTCGGGCAATCTGCTTGTCAACGTGTCGTAAAGGCAAAATCAAAACAAAAATGGCAGACAAACTTAAATGCTGTGATTCTTCAGAGGCGAAGAAAAAGATTAGACAGTTTGACAAAGCCTACCTAAATTTTGGTTTTATTGAAGGCCAAGACAAGTTAAAACTGATTAATTAATATTTTCTATACATATTACTATATATTAATATTACACAAACACACACACACACACACACACACACACATATACATATGCATATATATATATATATATACACAGTACATATGTGTGTGCGTGCGTGCGTGCGTGTGTATTTATATGGTGGGGGGGGCTCCAATGTTTGTATATGTTTATGGGGGGGGCCCCAAAGAAAAAGGTTGGGAACCACTGCCCTAAGCCATGTTTTCTCCTCATTGTGGGTTTATTCAGGTTTTGCGTCTGTTTTTGTAGTTCAACTCAAACTGAAACAAAGCAACTCCAACAAAGCAAAGTACAAACTTTATTTATCAGCGTATATATATATGCTGTGTAAACCCCGGTGACACTGACATTCAGGACATGATGTCTTAGTCCAGTGGTCACCAAACTTCCTAGTGGTCTGGTGTCCTGCAGATTTTAGCTCCAACCCTAATTAAACACACCTGAACAAGCTAAACAAGATCTTACTAGGTATACTAAACATCTTAGCAGGTGTGTTGAGGCAAGTTGGAGTTAAACCCTGCAGGGACACCGGCCCTCTAGGAGATTGGTGACTCCTGTCTTAGTCAAACAGAAGTTGCACCAGAATGTACAGTGTTAAACCGAGGAGTCAGTGCGCGTCTCGCCATTGTCTTAATATAGTCTCTGCTGTTTCTGAATATGCGTTCTTCAGCGATCTTGCGTCCTCGTGTTCTCGTGTAACGTCATCTCCAGCTGCCAAGGTTCAGTTCCAATACTCAAGAGTGCAAAAACAGAGGACGCGTGAAACTTCCCGGATGTGTTTTTAATATCGAGGACACACCGATGCAGACTTGAGTACCGAACTTGCTCTAGAAGTCCCAGAAGTCATTGCGACTGGAGCTGGGAAGCGCAGCATCTCACTCCGCGGTGGACGACCTCCATGAAGTTGGCACCCCATAAAAACAAATAATCCCCAAAACTATGCCATTCGTTTGTGCTGATTTGTGCCGCAAAAACGAACATTTGTGCTGGTTTGGGGTCTGAGATATTAAGCATTGTTTTTTTTGACCGCGTGACGTCACTCTTCACCCCATTTTCTCTAAATCGCGCAAAACTGGTGTCTTTCGTTAGTGCTGGATTTGTGCTGGTTTGTGCTGGTTTGTGCCGTTAAAATAAACACGTTATCTATTTTCATTGTTTAGATATAATCAAAATATTTTGGGAGCCGTGACGTCATTCTCCACCCCAGGTTGTCTAAATCGCAAAAAACAGGTGTCATCCATTAGTGCTGGATTTGTGCTGGTTTGTGCTGTTAAAACGAACACGGTATCTGTTTTCCTCTTTTAGATATAAGCTAAATATTTTGGGAGCCGTGACGTCACTCTCCACCCCATTTTCTCTAAATCGCGCAAAACTAGTCTCATTTGTTTGTGCTGGATTTGTGCTGGTTTGTGCCATAAAAATAAACACTTTATCCATGTTTATTGATTAGAGATTGTGTAATTAAAACATTTCGGTAGCCGTGACGTCACTCAGCGCCCCATTATTTCCTCTAAATTGCACAAAACAGGTGACTTTCTTTAGTGCTGGATTTGTGCTGGTTTATGCCATTAAAATAAACACTTTATCTGTTTGTATTGTTTAGATATTGCCTAATCGAAACACTTTGGGAGCTGCGACGTCACTCTATATCGCACAAAACAGGTGTCATTCAATTGTCCTGGTTGTGCTGTTAATAAACACTTTATCTGTTTTCCTTGTTTGGATATAACCAAAATATTTGGTTAGATTTGTGCTGGTTTGTGCCATAAAAATAAACATCAGATATTTATATTTGTGCACAAATATGTTACTTTCGTTTGCTCACAAATTATGCTTGTTTGTGCTGCAAAAATATTTTTGTAAAAAAATAATATCAGATCATTAAGAGGTCTCTCCACCCCAGTTGCACAAACGACCTGTGCTGTTTTGAAGTCATTTGCGCAACATGGGGTGGAGAGTGACGTCACACGGTCAAAAAAACAATGCTTAATGTCTCAGACCCCAAACCAGCACAAACGTTCGTTTTTGCGGCACAAATCAGCACAAACGTAGCACAAACGAATGGCATAGTTTTAGGGGTTATTTGTTTTTATGGGGTTCCAACTTCACGGAGGTCACAGGACGCCTTCTCTGTTCTCGTGGTCTCTTGAGTTTTTCCGGAGGCCCACCTGGCAAGACCGGTCTCCACAAGAACCCAAGTCTGTTCTCTCAAAGAAATAAACATTAGTTTTAAGCCCTGCTACATTTGTCATTCATAATTTCATACAACCACAATTTATACAATTGTAAAGATAATCGTGTTTATATAAACACTAAATGAGGACTTTTCCCTCAATCCCCGGGTCTCAGTGCTGCAGGTCTCTTGCCCTGCCTATTTCAACCATTAGCCCTGCTGGTAATCTGGAGGATTTAGGTGAACACAGCAGCATGGCGATGTGTCTAAATGTGAACAAACTTGTACAAAATTCCCCCTATCGCGCATGAGCGAGAGAGACTTCTCTAGACAGGCTTGGCGCATGCGCGTTTATTCAGTTCAGCCGTACCCTACAGAGTATGACAGCACGGAGACTCCGCTACTCTGTTTATACTGCTCAAAAAATCTATCCTTGTTGTGTGGTATCACTGTGCGCGCATAAAACTGTAAGTAATTATCGTTCTTATCATTCTAGAAGTATTTATAATGTTTCTGGTATAATCTGGTCTAATTTACCTCAGAAAATCTAAACCCAGTTTTATTTATTTAATTGTTATCATACGTCCGTTTACTTTCATTACTTTTAACAGTTTCAGTTTCAACAACGATATTAAGTTTGTTTCATATTGTCATATGAATAGCTATCATGCGGAGCGCACGTGATAGTCACACAGGCGCATGCACAAAGTGTAATCTGACACCACTAGTTAGTGCCTATAGCAGCTGCGCTACTCTTTCGAGTTATATTGCATGTACTCCATATACGTATCAGTAAAGATTGAAACTGAGTGATTGAATATTGTTTATAACTTTGTATATTTGTCACTTTTATGTATATTTACAATTTGTTCCTGTTCTTTGACAGAAACCGCACCATATAATCACACAAAAGTGAATGTCGTCATAAAGAAATAATGGAAATTGGACATGTTCATTCTGGAGTAGCTGCAGTTCTTTCTAACGGAAGAATTAGGCCAGTTGGGTTTCAACCACACAATAGCGTACAGAATATCCCACAAAACTCCTGATACAAACCCCATGGATCATGGAAATTCAATTCAATTCAGCTTTATTTGTACAGCGCTTTTACAATGTAGATTGTATCAAAGCAGCTTCACATAAATGGTCATAGTAACTGGAACAGGGTAGTTCAGTTTTTAGTGTTTAAGTTCAGTTCAGTTTAGCTCAGTTCAGTGTGATTTAAAATCATTACAAACACATACGACCCTTTTGAAAAAACACATACAACCCTTCATGAAGCGGCTAAATACTGTGTGCCGTGGGTCCGTGGACGTGGTCCCACCCAGTCATCAAGGTAGGATCTCAGAGCTTGGCACTGGCAGGTCTGTCTTGTTTTCGGAAAGCAAGTGCAGTCGTAAATAATTAAGCAGCCGGCTCTTCTCATAGGATAAGAAAACTCCGCTGTGAATAATAATGAGAAACCGACGCGTCATCTTTGCACTTGCAGTTTTGCGCTACGTCACCGATTTTATTCCCGCCCCAAAAATCATTTTAAACCCAGAAGCTGAAATTAGCTGACAAAAGCTCAACATTATCCAGTTTTTCCCACAATTAAAGCTAACAGGAGCTAACATTGTCTTAACTGATGCTCAACACACACACATCTGTTAAAATCTCAAAAAAAAGTACTCAAAGGTTTCGTGAACCTTTAAACATTGTTACTTTAAGTTTACGACCCACATGATCAAACATTACTATAGTCATTTATATTCAATACTACAGTGTTTTTAAAACATTATAGCCAAGTAAAGTGTATTGTACTGTGTATATTTTACATCACTTTTTGTATGTTATACTACAATACACCACAGGTTTCTGTAGTAAAACAAAGTGATGTTAAATTATAATATATAATTATAGTAATAAAAACAAATGATCAAATACTGTAGTTTTCATTGTATTATGTCATACTACAAAAAATATGTATAGTATTTAATCATTTATTTATATTACTATTAGACACTACAGAACTACCGCAATAATTCAAGTACTATAGCACAGGGGTGGCCAACCCTGTTCCTGGAGAGCCATCTTCCTGCAGATTTCAGTTGCTACCCATATCAAACACACCTGAACTAATTAATTAGCACCTGAACACCACGTGATAATTACAGGCAGGTGTGTTTGATATGGGTAGCAACTGAAATCTGCAGGAAGGTGGCTCTCCAGGAACAGGGTTGGCCACACCTGCTATAGCATATGGTTCAGAAACATTATTGTTTTACTGTAAATTATTGATTTATTAAGGCATTTCTTCATGGGGACATTAGTAGTGTTGTAAATGTTAAAGGTTTATTAATTTAACTTTTAGCATTGTTGTTCATTCATAACACAATTATTTGTTTGTTTGCTGTAACATTTATTTCGTTTCTCTCACATCATTCCAAACAATAAGATTTGCCTGTTTCTGCCAGAATGTTTCAGATGCCTTAAAGTCCCCATTAAATTTCCCATTGGGTTTTATAGTTTTCAGCTTTTTTGAGTATTATATCTTAATCTAGTATACAATGTCAACTAGCATTAGCATTTTCAAACATTATTTTGTGCTTTATTTAGACGCAGAGTCAAATGCACACTGTGTATAGTCTAATGCAGTGCTTCCCGAAGTGGGGGTCACGGGACAATGACGAGGAGTTGCTTGGTGATTTTCAAAACTCAAATAAATTTGAATAAACTATTAGAATTACCATATTTTAATCATAACCCAAGGAAGACAATTTTATTTTTCCATCGCATGTTTAGATTAGCCACACAGCAATAGTGTCAACTGCAGCAGATTGATTTTATAGGGCCAGGTTAAACTTTGACATCCTTTATGGCACTCTGATACATTAAAAATAAGATATTTGAGGTTAATAATAAATTAAATGTATAAAAAAATAAACGGTTATTAAACTGTTGCATGCTTTTGTTGTCAACATGCTTATGTTTATATAGACCTACAGTTTTGTGTGCAACGTTTTTATATTTATATCCACCTTAGGGAAAAATGGGGGTCACAAAAATTTATTTTGGGGTCGCAGGCTGAAAAGTTTGGGAAGCCCTTGTCTAATGTGTGATTGTGCACTTAAAATGTACAGAATGATCATTATATCAAACTACAAAGCTCAACAAACATGTTTTCTTCTATTCCAGCCATTCTCATTGTTGTTTCATCATCCAGCCTCTATGAATGTCTTGATACACTTGATCGTCTATGTGGAGCTCTGCTGAAAAACAAAGTTTTACATTTGCATACAGCACCATCTTTTTGTTAGCATTTGTTGGTTGTGTTTATCATTATGCTCAAATTAGTAAAAGCTAACAGAAGGAAATAAGACATGTACTTGCTGTGGGAAATGAGCTGATTAAGTAATATCGTCATCCCGTTATTATATCACAGGCTGATAGATCACGTGACTTCGCAGGAAGCAGTGCGCAGTCCGTGTTTCTCCAGACACAGGTGAGTTTAGGGTCAAAATAATAACATACGAGTTTGCAGTTGTGCTTTTCTGACAGGATGTGTATCTTTTTGAGGGTTCATTCAAGTTTAAGCGACATTTCATACGTTTAGAGAGTCCAGTAGCTAATGTTAGCTTTATGCTAATGTCTTGAGTTTCGGTTTTGCTGGCTACAGCAAAGTGAAAGTAAGAAGAAACCGTGTTTTATTTCCTACATGACTGTCTCTACTGATGTTTCATTTGTTGGTTTTACTTTTTAATAACTTTTATTTATATATTTACGAGGCAAACACCAAGAAATGCCATTAAGCGTGCTTTTCCTCGGTATCAACAACGTCATCACAACAATACATCACATGACTTAAATAGTTGTCAAGAACCAAAGAATAGCCAGACCGACACTCAGATCATTACAAACACACATTATCCCAACACACCACGATAACATTGTAGGCTGATGCATGCGATTTTATTAAACGATATTACAAAACAAACCTGTAGACCTGTAGACTTCACATGCATGTGTGTAAAACTTACAACAGCATTACGAGTGTAAAATATGCTTTTAAGGATGACAGTAGATTAATATTAGTACAATAATAATTTTATTTTTTAGAAACATTTATTAGATGTTTAATATACGTCTAAATATAGTAGTCTTGCCTAAAACAAGGCTAAATTTGGGCTGTCCATGAATATCTAATAGATGTCTAAGAATAGGCCAAAACTAGACTAGTCATCAAATAAACTGAAATGAATGACTACACGTTTAGTCTGTCTAATCTGAATTATTTGATGATTAGTCTAGTTTTGGGCTATTCTTAGATGTCTATTAGACGTTCACTGACAACCCAAATATAGTCTTGTTTTAGCCAAGCTGTCTATGTTTAGACGTCTATTAAACACTAAATTGTTTGCTGGCTATCTAAACGATCATAAGCAGAAGAATGATCAAATAAGGGAGTCACAACACTGTTTGCATTTCCTTCAGTTTCTCAGACACAGCTTTTTTTATTGTGGAAACACACAATTTTAAATTAATAACCCCAAATCTATCAGGCATCTGCCCAAATTGATATGTGTAGATATGATATTATATGTGCAGAATTGATTCTTGAACAGACAAAGTCACACGTTGCTACTTTAATTCTGTATAAAGTGAAAAACATCACTCTTTAAAAATATGAATACATAAAAACATATTGATATTGGTTATGTAGTGTAACTGCTGGACGGTGACTAACATCTAAATGAGTATGAACCTACAAATGATTGTGTGTGCTCTTCATCTGTGTGTTCCCACAGTATAATGGCAGAAGTTGATATTTCAGTGGATCAGAACCAGTTCATGTGTCCGGTGTGTCTGGACCTCCTGCAGGATCCAGTGACGATTCCCTGTGGACACAGTTACTGCATGAGCTGCATCACAGACTGCTGGAATCAGGAGGAGCAGAAGCGAATCTACAGCTGTCCTTTATGCAAACAGAGCTTCACTCCGAGACCTGCTTTGGCTAAGAATGTGGTGTTTGCTGAAATGCTGGAGAAACTGCAGAAGAGCAGACTCCAGACGGCTGCTCCTGCTTCTGTTCACACTGGATCTGGAGATGTGGAGTGCGACGCCTGCACTGGAAATAAGCAGAAAGCTGTGAAGTCCTGTCAGGAGTGTAGAAACTCTTATTGTCCAGATCACCTCCAACAGCACGAGAGTCTCTTCAGAGGTCGAGGACACAATCTGATGGAGGCCACTGGACGACTGCAGGAGATGATCTGCCCTCAGCATAATAAAGTGATGGAGATTTACTGCCGCACCGACCAGCGCTGCATCTGTGTGCTGTGTTTGGTGGATGAACACAAACATCATGACACTGTGACAATCGCAGCAGAAAGGAGAGAGAAACAGGTACAGTATACTGCTTGCTGGAACTCATCAATGACACTTTATTTTCCTTCAGTCAGAGAAACCTCTGAGCTGTGGAGGTTTAATGATATTTGTCTGCAGGAACATTTGGAGGAGAACCAGAGAAACTTACTAATAATAATCCAGAAGCGAGAGGAAGATCTTCTTAAGCTGAGAGACGCTGTTGACATTCATAAGGTGAGAAAAATAAACTGGATGGAGATTCTGTCATTTCTTTGAAATTTGTTCTTTAATAAACATAAGGAGATGTTTAGAAGAATGTTCAGGCTGTTCTTATCAATCATTTTTACCGTTGGTACTAAAGTGAATGAACTGAAAGTGATGAGTGTGTCCTGTACCAGCGCTCAGCACAGTCGGCAGTGGAGGACAGTGAGAGGATCTTCACTGAACTCATCCAGGATATTGAGAAACGTCGCTCTGAGGTGAATCAGCTGATCAGAGATCAGGAAAGAGCTGCTGTGAGTCGAGCTGAAGAACAACTGGAGCGACTGAAGCTGGAGATCAATGATCTGAAGAGGAGAAACACTGAGCTGAAGCAGCTTTCAGAAACACAGGATCATCTTCACTTCCTCCAGGTATTTATGTGTGTGTGATGTAGAACAGATGAAGAATGAGTGACGGTAACAAGCTTCTGTACTTATAGAGTGTTTGTGTTTGTGTAGAGTTTCCCGTCTGTTTCTCTCTCTGGATCTTCAGATTCAGGCTTCACTGTCAGTTCTCATCTGTGTTTTGATGATGTGGTGAAATCAGTCTCTCTGTTCAGAGACAAACTGCTGCAGTTCTCCTCAAATATGATAGAAGAGATGTCTAAAGCAGGTGAATACTGATATGTTTTCAAAGGAGTTAATTGAGAAATTGAGAATATATTAGTAGTTTAATGTTGATTTTGTCTCCTCAGATCAGATGGAAGAGATATCTGGAATAGGTAAATACTGAACTATTTTCAGAGGAGTTAATTGAGAAATTGAGAATATATTAGTAGTTTAATGATGATTTTGTCTTGCTGTGTGAGTTAAACTGCAGATGTGTTTGGTTTCCATGTAGTGAAAAAGGTTCAGGTCACTCAGACTCCTGAAGATCAGACCAGTGAGGAGTTTCAACAACGTAAGTTACTATAAAACATAGACAGTCCAAAAATACAACAGTAGTTTATTATCTTTAAGTCTTCTTCTATCTCTATCAGATCCTCTTCCAGTATTAGAGGAGTCTTCTCAGGGCCCAAGGAGCCAAATTCCTTGTTTTGGCTTTGGATCCGCCAGTACTGGAAACCCATCGGGCTTTGGATCTGCCAGTATTGCAAACTCATCTATCTTTGGATCCGCCAGTACTGGAAACCCATCGGGCTTTGGATCTGCCAGTACTGGAAACTCATCGGGCTTTGGCTCCGCCAGTATTGGAAACTCATCTATCTTTGGATCTGCCAGTACTGGAAACTCATCGGGCTTTGGATCCGCCAGTATTGGAAACTCATCTATCTTTGGATCCGCCAGTACTGGAAACTCATCGGGCTTTGGATCCGCCAGTATTGGAAACTCATCTATCTTTGGATCCGCCAGTACTGGAAACTCATCGGGCTTTGGATCCGCCAGTATTGGAAACTCATCTATCTTTGGATCCGCCAGTACTGGAAACCCATCGGGCTTTGGATCCGCCAGTATTGGAAACTCATCTATCTTTGGATCCGGCAGTACTGGAAACCCATCGGGCTTTGGATCCACCAGTATTGGAAACTCATCTATCTTTGGATCCGGCAGTACTGGAAACCCATCGGGCTTTGGATCCACCAGTATTGGAAACTCATCTATCTTTGGATCCGCCAGTACTGGAAACCCATCGGGCTTTGGATCCACCAGTATTGGAAACTCATCTATCTTTGGATCCGGCAGTACTGGAAACCCATCGGGCTTTGGATCCACCAGTATTGGAAACTCATCTATCTTTGGATCCGCCAGTACTGGAAACCCATCGGGCTTTGGATTTACCAGCCATCACCACTAAAAGTTTGTGCAAGGAAGCCCAAACTCTCTCCCCACACCCCTGTAAGCCCATTTAGCTTTGGATCCTCTAGCACTGGAAAACCATTTGGCTCTGGATCCCCTCATCTTCTCTAATTTTGGCGTCCAAAAGGAAGGGAGTCCATTGCCTAAATGAATATTAGTGTTAATTTTACTTTTAAGTGTCCATGTGAATATTTACATATACATTTGTATTAATATAAAAAGCTTTTGAAATTATTGTTTTTTAGCTGTTTTTTAATCTACTTTATGAAAACCAGTTGCCTGATTTTTAATGATATAATAATATTGAAGTTGTCTTGATAACCATTTAATGCATCAGAAGTTTTCCTTTGGTTGTTTATTTTAAAAGGTGCAGTCTTTGACCTGATCTAATTTCATGTCAGCTGTGACGTAACTAGTCTTTCAGTGTGCTTGCCTCATCAAGCGGCTAATGATGGTGCCTTCCTCGCTTCTGTGTTTGAACAATGAACATGCTCACAGGTGACCTTACACAAAATACCAGATGCAGAAGAGGCAACAGCAAACAATTAGCTTAACATATGAAGAGAATCTCCTGTAAAGTGTGGGTAAAAGCTTGTTTGTGTGTGCAAATTATTTTTCATCTTGACTCCTTTTAAAACCTTGAGCAACACAAAGCTGGACCACTTTGATGATGGACTTTGGCTGAGGGATTTTATGACCGGCGAATACTAGAATATCCATCATTGCCATCTCACTGCTACCATTTTTATCATCACATGATCTGTTTAAACAAAACCACGTTACTTTTCTGATGAGCAAGCTGGAATTTATTACATAGATGACATTACATTTGTTCTTATTGAATTAAAATGTTTATTCCACCATGTTTATAAGCATGTCTACATTCTACTTTAATACTAGAGGTCAATGTCAGTCATGGATGAAGGATAACACAAATATTACTGCTCTATGATGATTTGAAGTGTTCATTTGACCCACACTTGTACGTCACTTTGGATAAAAGCGTCTGCGAAGTGAATCAATGTAAATAATAATCATTTGTCAGGCTTCATATCTTAATGTACTTTCAATTAGTCTTTCATTGTGTTATGTTGTTAAAGAAATGACTGTGATGTACAGATTTGGCAGTGTGTTTTACTAAAATGCTCTGCTTATGAGAATGAAAGGGCATTTCTTAGGGAAGAATGAACAGAAATAGCCATAGAAATCCTTACATTTAAAACTCTGTTGAATAATGGATCAAAACACAATTATATATTTAGTGCTTTAATGATTTTTCTGGTTGTAAAAGTAGATTTGTTTAACAGGATTTTACCCTGATTTAGATTTTTCTGCGCCATTAATGTCCACAGCCCAGTAGATGGCGGGAATGTATTGTGTTTGCCCGCCAAAAACAACAACAACTCTAAAAGACGACAAAGAAGGAGATACACCTTTAAACTGATTTAGTTGTTCGTCAGGCTGGATATCATACAGAGGTAACACTACTACTGAACAAAATAATAGGTTTTGTGTTGATTACACTTGCAACCCTAGTAGCAAAGAATTCTGGCCCAGATTTGGCATAAAGCTGGCACAGCAGGCATTCATCCGGCACTGGCATACAGCATGTGGGCCAAACATGGCCCGGGTTTGGCAGAGGTGGCACCGTCTTTAAGGCGGCACACAAGATTTGGGCCAGATGAAAAACGTAGTATTTAGCCAAGATTTAAAAATTTGATAAGTGGGCCATGTGGATTTGGCCAGTCTTGACCCACATTTAAAATACACTAAAATCATTTTTGAGTAAAGAAAAAAAATTCTACCAATCGGGTCACTTTGAGAAAAAGCGTGCCCATAGTGTGCCTAAAGCGCATCACTCCATGGGTTTATCAATTTCATTGCAATCGTGACACACCAACCTATCTGGCCCAGTTATGAGTTATTAACTTAGCTGAGACTTGGCCCAGATATGGTCTGTGTTTGGCCCTTGTCTGGAAGCCAGATTTGATCCAGTCATGTACGGTAATTCACTGCGGCATGTGGGCCAAGCAAAACCTGATTGTGTGGGCCAGAGCTGGGCCAGAGAAATTTTGCTATGTGGGAAGCTGCATGATGAGATATTGCTCGGTTTTCTGTTAGCTAAACTTATATAATTACCATCATGTTCATGTCCTTTATTTATATCTTTTCACCTTTTTGTCCATTGAAAATGTAATTAATATTTTACGTATTGCATACAAATATTTTGTCATGTCAAGTGCATTCTATTTGCATAAATATTAAAAACAAACGAAAAAAACAACAACAACAACAGATATGTAAATACTGGGAGATATAGAGTAATTTAGCCTGTATTGTCGTCCAGCTGCAGCCAAAGCCCAAGAGTTCTGCGAGATCACGTGACTCGCGGGAAGCAGTGACCAGTCCAGTCACTGACTAGAGGTGCTTGTAAATCGACTCTCACTGTTACTCATTCAACTAAACAGAAACAACAGCAACAACACAGATTAAACACTCGAAAGACATATATCAGAAGTCTCTGTTTGTGGTGATTTTCTTCAGATACGGGTGAGTTGAGTTCAGACTTCGAGATGATTAGGCGTTTGTATATGGAACAAAATCAATGCCTAAAGTCTTGAATTAAAAAGCTTGTTGAATATCACAAACTGAAAAAAATAATACACCGTATTAACAAGTTCTTGCATTTTAATGACTTGAATTCCAGGGTTTGTATTTTTAGGTCCTGAAATTTAACATATCTGTATATTTAAGCTTTGAATATTTCAACGAAAAATATTTCAAACACGTTTTCATACTTAAAAATTCAATAATTCATATTCAATTTTCAGATTTCACTTACAAAATATTCAATAACCTTTAAAAATACGATGTATAATATTCAAAATGTCATTTTCAGTTCATTTTTTTCAGTTCAAATATTCGCTTCCATAAATTCAGTGGATCAAATTCGACTGTTAAAATTCAACATTACATCCGGGAACTGTAGGAAAAGCAATAGATTGCAGATTGAAGATCGCCAGCTGCTCTAGCTTTCACCAGCAGGTGGAGATGGAATGTAAGATTTTTAACCCAGTAAACAGGCGAGAAAAAGGCTATTAAAGGCACAAAAGTAGCATTTAATATTAATATCAATGTTTTGGACATTATAAATGATAAAAAGTATGAGTAAAATGAGTAAATGAGGTTTTAGTCATCTATATTTGCCCTTATGTAACGGAAGCCAGCTGGTGATCGCGTAAATCTCAGTTCTCCGATCCAGTGACAGACGTTGTTCTGCAATCTTATCGGAGCTTGTCTCCCATGCCGGCTCGCTCCCTGCTCGGACCGGTGCGGTTACTTGCACATAAACCGTCTTTTGATGAATATGATGTTATACATTGTCTATCTTTATTGACTCTTTCTTCCATAGACGCGAAGTATTATATTGACAGCTAAAGGATATAAACGTAAGAGAAACAGGAAATGAAACATTATAATAATACAAAATAGATAAACATTGACAGGGCTAAGAACAATTACGAACAAAGATATTCAAAAGCAGAGAGATTTTATGAAAATGTCACACAAAACAGTTTACTTGGAACTGTTAAACAGTGTTCAGGTATGATTTAAGGTTGGTTATGGATGGGGCGTCTAATTTAAAATAATTTAACATAACGTGCCAATGCATTAAAGTGACGTCTTCAGTTATTATTTAAACGCAGCTATGTCAGAATTGGGATAGGTTATATAATTTCATTATTTAAATTATGATTATTAATATTAATATTCTATGACATGTATTTGGGCTATTGCGCTTGAATAAGTCATCCGTGATTCTAAATTAATATTTCTATTTATCCTTTTTATCACTCTGCCTGTCTTTCTCTTCTTTTTTTTCTAATTATTGGGGTTCTGCCACGGTTAAACGTTTGCAAAATGTCTTAGTTTGTCCAGAATATTGTTTTATTGTTATGTAGCCTATAGGCGAGAAAAATGTATTAACGCAAATGTGGCAATGTCGCAGCCAATGATAAGTAATAAAATGAGTCGCCTGTGGTTTGATAATAGGCAGTTATAACTGACTTTAATTTGTTTTCAGTATTAAATGAGAAAACCATTATTTATAACTTTTCAGCAACCGTTTGTATTTTATGATTAGCAATGTTGATCTTTTTTGCAGTTATTAAACATATAAACTTGTTTAACTGGTTTAAATTTAATATAGTTGTCACTTCAGCTAGTTTCATAAGATTAATGTTTAGAATGCGTGGTTTGACATGCGTGGTTGAGTGGTTTCAGCAAATCATGGGATTATGAGCTTTAATCGCCATCTACTGGAGAGAATGTATTTGCTCATTTATTCTATTAACTCTTTTCTGCAAGTCTGTTTTATGATTTCACCAAGTCAAACCATTATTTTTTTATTTTATATTTTGAGATGATCATATTTAAATAAACAATTGCTAGGGTATTTTCTTTTTTCTTGTTTTAAAAAAAAAATCAGTAGCCTATAAAATGATAATTTTTGCTTGACAAAGTTATTGGTTTAGGATTCTGGATGCATTTTTGCTAAATGAGTGTTGGATACTCTCACACTAGTTAAATCAATTATATTATCAGAAATGACAGATATAAGAAATCCATAAATATTCATCACTCTTTTTACAATTATACAAGCAATTTCGCGACGACGTCAGCTCCACTTTCGGAAATGGTAAACAGCGAGGTGTTATTCATATAATCCCAAGCATGACATGTCATGATAATAATCGAAACACTTGTAGGCTATTCTTATGCTTGGCCAAATGTCATGACTTTCACTTTTATTTTACATTATTATGCACAAGCCCAGATATCATCTGAAACTTCGGAAGAATTCCTATCATATTGGCAGCCATCTAGCATCTCTTAACCAGTTTGATATGCGGCGCTGGCTCTGACCGGCCACCGGAGCTCGCGGCCACTCGTTCGTCTTTGTCGTGTGCAAGCCGCACCGCACATGCATAAAACGTCAATCATTTCATTCATTCATCAATTCATTCATTTTCCTTCTGCTTCGTCTCTATTTTAGTGGAAAAGCAATATTCTGGACAAACTAAAGACATTTTGCAAACGTAACCGTGGCAGAACCACAAAAAATAGAAAAAAAGAAGAGAAAGACGATAGCAAAGTTATAGCTACAAATAGAAATATTAATTTAGAATCACGGATGACTTATTCAAGCGCAATAGCCCAAATACATGTCATAGAATATTAATATTAATAATCATAATTTAAATAATGAAATTATATAACCTATCCCAATTCTGACATAGCTGCGTTTAAATAATAACTGAAGACGTCACTTTAATGCATTGGCACGTTATGTTAAATTATTTTAAATTAGACGCCCCATCCATAACCAACCTTAAATCATACCTGAACACTGTTTAACAGTTCCAAGTAAACTGTTTTGTGTGACATTTTCATAAAATCTCTCTGCTTTTGAATATCTTTGTTCGTAATTGTTCTTAGCCCTGTCAATGTTTATCTATTTTGTATTATTATAATGTTTCATTTCCTGTTTCTCTTACGTTTATATCCTTTAGCTGTCAATATAATACTTCGCGTCTATGGAAGAAAGACTCAATAAAGATAGACAATGTATAACATCATATTCATCAAACGACGGTTTATGTGCAAGTAACCGCACCGGTCCGAGCAGGGAGCGAGCCGGCATGGGAGACAAGCTCCGATAAGATTGCAGAACAACGTCTGTCACTGGATCGGAGAACTGAGGGTGCTTTCACACCTACACTTTTGTTTCGGAACGTGTCTCGTTTGCCCAGTTAGCGCGGTTCGATTGGCATATGTGAACAGGGCAATCGCACTCTGTTCCGCGCCAAAGTAATCGCTCCGAGATCGCTTGAGTGAGGTGGTCTCGGCTCGATTGAAACGAACCCTGGAGCGGTTCGATTGCAGTGAGAAAGCGATCCGATCCGAGCGCGGTTATATCACAGTGTTTTATGGATATGTAATAGGCTTACGGCTACATGAAGAGAGAATTATGAGTAGGGCGGGAAGTTTCGCGAGTCTCCGAATGCCCGCAAACGAGTGATGATCTCCCGGTAATCTCGCGTCTCTCTCCCAGTCCTCAAATAGGCATCGTCGCGCACCCTTCTCACCCCTCCCCACCGTGTCTCTCCTCAGACACGTCACGCGCGCGCACCCTGTCAATCACCACCAAACCACCACCTCTCCTGACAGCTGAGCGGAAAGCTGCAAAATAAACCCTGACACTCTGACCAATGTAAGGAGAGTTTACTCGCACGTGACTTGTTTTAGCTCTTTTGGTCCGATTAGAAACTTTGCAGTCTGAAAGCGAACCGCTCCAAGAGCAAAGAGCAACAATGTAACAATTGTAATCTCTGTTTCGGAACAACTGAATCGATTCACAGGTGTGAAAGCACCCTGAGATTTACGCGATCACCAGCTGGCTTCCGTTACATAAGGGCAAATATAGATGACTAAAACCTCATTTACTCATTTTACTCATACTTTTTATCATTTATAATGTCCAAAACATTGATATTAATATTAAATGCTACTTTTGTGCCTTTAATAGCCTTTTTCTCGCCTGTTTACTGGGTTAAAAATCTTACATTCCATCTCCACCTGCTGGTGAAAGCTAGAGCAGCTGGCGATCTTCAATCTGCAATCTATTGCTTTTCCTACAGTTCCCGGATGTAATGTTGAATTTTAACAGTCGAATTTGATCCACTGAATTTATGGAAGCGAATATTTGAACTGAAAAAAATGAACTGAAAATGACATTTTGAATATTATACATCGTATTTTTAAAGGTTATTGAATATTTTGTAAGTGAAATCTGAAAATTGAATATGAATTATTGAATTTTTAAGTATGAAAACGTGTTTGAAATATTTTTCGTTGAAATATTCAAAGCTTAAATATACAGATATGTTAAATTTCAGGACCTAAAAATACAAACCCTGGAATTCAAGTCATTAAAATGCAAGAACTTGTTAATACGGTGTATTATTTTTTTCAGTTTGTGATATTCAACAAGCTTTTTAATTCAAGACTTTAGGCATTGATTTTGTTCCATATTTGTAGCTGTGATTTTTGTTTATTTATATATTTTGACAGGATTTTTCTCTTTATTGATGCTATATTTCAGGTTTAAACTGCATTTCATGTTTGAGTCTCATCCTAAATATTAGCTTTAGATTTAGTTAGTTTCGTTTTTGCTGAATACAGCAAAACAAAGGATAAAATGTTTTATTAGCCTATTTTTATTAGTATTTATGTATATTTAGTTTGCAAATTTTACTTTTACATAACGTAGACGGCTAATGATGCATGCGATTTAAGAAGGCGATTTACATTTATGCGCAGATTTACCGCGCATGCGCTGGTAGAGTGTATAAATAAGATTTACCAACGCAGTAGAAGGCAAAAGGCTTAAAGAATCTACAATATGCATTTATGAGTAACTGAAGATTTCTGTTAAGAATAATTACTAATCGTAAACAGCAGCTTTGTATGACGTCATTTTATTAAATTAAAATTAAACGTTTATTACTTAAAATAGTCATAAGCAGTACAAATATCACATTTTAATGAGTGTGTTAGACACGTCATTTAGTTTTGCACACCATCTGTCCTTGATATGGCCAACAATCGTTACAATGGTCCAAAACCTACAGAACAACTAGTAGGCAGTAGAGCACGGAATAATAATAATAATTATAATGCTTAATAACTAAGGGAATCATCTAATATTGATATATAATTACCAAGATTTAAATTTCATTTTACACACTCTCTTGAGAGCCTGATTTGCAGAGCGGAAGTCAAATTATGCCAATTTAAAACAGCACTAAACAGTGCACTTGTTCACAGATTAACTGCTTTGTATGCACTTTTTCCTTGTGTTTATACAGTGAAATGGCTGAAGGTGGTGTTACAGTGGATCAGGACCAGTTCATGTGTCCGGTGTGTCTGAATCTCCTGCAGGATCCAGTGACGATTCCCTGTGGACACAGTTACTGCATGAGCTGCATCACAGACTGCTGGAATCAGGAGGAGCAGAAGCGAATCTACAGCTGTCCTTTATGCAAACAGAGCTTCACTCCGAGACCTGCTTTAGCTAAGAATGTGGTGTTTGCTGAAATGCTGGAGAAACTGCAGAAGAGCAGACTCCAGACGGCTGCTCCTGCTTCTGTTCACACTGGATCTGGAGATGTGGAGTGCGACGCCTGCACTGGAAATAAGCAGAAAGCTGTGAAGTCCTGTCAGGAGTGTAGAAACTCTTATTGTCCAGATCACCTCCAACAGCACGAGAGTCTCTTCAGAGGTCGAGGACACAATCTGATGGAGGCCACTGGACGACTGCAGGAGATGATCTGCCCTCAGCATAATAAAGTGATGGAGATTTACTGCCGCACCGACCAGCGCTGCATCTGTGTGCTGTGTTTGGTGGATGAACACAAACATCACGATGCTGTATCTGCTGCAGCAGGTAGAAAAGAGAAAGAGGTAAAGTATTGCTCCTGGTTAGATATATTAGTCACACTATATTGTAGACTCAACAAAAAATATAAACGCTTGCCTTTGCTCCTATTCCTCATGAGCTGAACTCAAAGATCAAAAATGTTTAGTATGTACACAAAAAGCCTGTTTCTCTCAAATATTGTTCAAACATTTTTCTAAATCTGTGTTAGTGCGCACTTCTCCCTTGCCAAGGTAATTCATCCACCTCACAGCTGTGGCAAGGTGCTGTTTAGAAAGCATGAATTAAACACAAAATAATACTCTAAAATGTGCAGTTTTACTGTATTTGCAGGGCTGGGGAAGGCAGGGGGTCATTAGAAAACCAGCGAATATTTGGCAGGACTCGAAAATTAACTTTTTTACTTGGTAGCACTGATGCTCCCAACTTCAAATATTAAGGAGCACCAAAAAGAATTTAGCAGCATCCATAGATATATACACTAGATATCGCATAGGGACCCTGAGCATGCGTCCTGTTTTTGGAAGGTTTGGATTTTTTGTGCTAATCAGGTAGCGTTATTGATGATAACAGTCACTTACTGCATTCACCATACGGCAAAGCAGCTCCAACTCGCACTAAACACTCGACTTATGCTAGTTTTGTTGAATAAAATCAGCAAACAATGCAAAAGAAATATGACAACGAGATGCTGCGCTGCCAGAAACTGGTATTATTTTCGGCTAATTTTAGTAAAAGAGTCGTTCGGGGGATTCATTCACAAGCGAATCGCTCCCTCCGTCAGTATGAGAAGTGAAAGCAGGAGAGGAGCTGTGTTTCAGGACATGATCAAATTTAACAGGGAGGGTGGATAGTACATTTCTGTACACACAAACACAAGCTTTTTGTCAGGAATGCCCGTGCGTTCACTGATCCATCAATGTAGAAAAGTGATGTAAAATTATAATTTTCGTAATGTAAGAATTTAAATATTACAAATATTTTTGATGTCTTTGACAATTCAAAACATGAGCTGAAAAACAGAGACTGGTGACTTCACAACCCAGCAAGGGGGAATGCGTGAAAAACCAGTTCCTGCTGCATTTGCATCTGAGTCTGCTGAAGCTCGGCTTCATCCACCCAACTCACGCATATGGTCATTTCAATGTTTGAATGTTCTAGATTAAACAAACTGACTTTAATTATCCTGTTTGATATCATTTGAAATGTCTCAGTGCGATTGGTACAATGGTCTCATTCTCTCAGAAATAGACATAATCAAAACAATAAATATATAACTTCAGGCATCTTTTGAACCACTGAGAAGGGTGTGACTTTTCCACTAAGTGTGAATGCCTTTTGTTATTCACACCCCCTTCCTTGAGGGAATTCTTGGATTATTTAAGGTAAGGTCTAAGAAAAACTCAGCGCGATTCTGCCTAACCAGATCAGCCCATAACATGGGGTCTGCCCCATGTTATGTATATTTCAAAGTCAGGAATGCATCTTTTTCATCTTGGATTTATCTTTGATAATTTGATGTTTTGTATTGATCGTTTATGAATTGACTGATTGAATTGGCATAATACATTTACCTGACTAATAAATTGTTATGTTTTGAATGATTTAAACAGAGTTCGTGTTATTATCTTTAGTAGATTGTGGTAATTTCATAGCACCACAAGCCCCTGTTCAGGTTAGTAGCGGACTAGAACACGGTAGACGGAGCATTGCAGCACGCTATACGATGTCTCTAGAGCTCCGACTAACAAATTGGCATTTATTCATGTATACTTAGGCTGTAAAAGGATATCTAAGGGGATAGTCCTTCACCCGATAAACTTATAATACTATTTAGATAGTATAGTGATTATTCAAAGTTACTACTAGTTTAAGTACGACTGGTCTGCTTAATTCTATAGTAATGATCGTTATATGACTAAATAGCTCTGTCTGATTTAGGAGGTAGCAGACCTATGGGGACCGCATAAAAATATCCTAATCTGAGTAAGTAGGGTTCTGCCTTTTTAGGATAGCGGTCAATCGCCCCTGTTTAGTGACCAAGACTGACATGCTTGTGCTTAAGAAATTGTATACTCGGCCGGTACAAGATTCAGGATGTTATAGAGATCCCAATGAACGAGAATAACATAAAATGATGAACCGAAGAGAATATTCAATCATAATCTAAATTAATGTGAACGGAAACAAAATAACCTTATCAATGTTTTATAATTGGAGTCAGATAAAACGAGGATAAACATATTAATATTCTAAACCACCTCATACTAAAATTGGGGTCAGATATGAGTTAAGTTTAATATAAATCAACATTGTGCACTGGAAAGACCGAACATGCAGTGAACCTTCATCCACCATTGGATACCGTCATTGGACCAACTGGGTGGACCCTACAGTAATTAGAAAAAAAAATTACATGCTAACATCCAGGAAAACTCCCGATCATAGATATATGTGTATATGTGTATATCTCTGGCTTTGCATGCCACAGTCCTCCACTGTATCTTGGTCCCGCATTCATTTCAAAGGAGCGCTACCCTGTAGCAAGATGGCGGCGCTATTGACGCATTCCATCCAATAGACAACAATAAGCCAGGCGACATCTAATGTATATATCTATAAGCAGCATCCACCAAAAGTAAATGAGCACCCCTGCAAATCGTATATTAATGGATTTATTGTATTTGAAAACAACATCAATCAGGACTAACAAAAACCAGAAACAACTAACTAATGCTGTGATGACTTCTTGATATTTGTGCAATAATTCCAAACTTAATATCTAATATTTATGTAATATCATTGATGATGATGATGATGACAATAATACTAACAATGAATTACATTTCTCATTATCATGCTGCCTTGAATGTGCTTGAATTTAGTTATCTGCTATAAAAAGTCCGACTGTTACTTTATGAACAATAAATATGGTTTGCGTCAAACACAAATGCAGCATTGCAGAATTTATCAATTTAACATGTCAATTTAACACATAATATTTCTGCTACAAAACATAAACGTAAGATTAAAATAAATCATTTAATTCAAGGCTGGGAGCTGCAAAACAGTCATCAGTAACTATTAGGGTTGCTTGATTTTGGGAAAAATCGTAATCACGATTATTTTGGTCATAATTGTAATCACGATTATTCAAAACGATTACTGTTAAAGTCAAAATTATTAGCGCTCCTGAGAATTTTTAAAAAATAAATATTTCCCAAATGATGTTTAACAGAGCAAGGAATTTTAACAGTATTTCCTCTAATATGTTTTTCTTCTGGAGAAAGGCTCTTTTTATTTTTATTTTGGATAGAATAAAAGCAGGTTTAAATATTTTGAAACCCATTTTAAGGTCAATATTATTAGCCCCCTTAAGCAATATATTTTTTGATTGTCTGCAGAAGAAACTACTGTTATACAATGACCTGCCTAATTACTCCAATTAAGCCTTTTAATTGCACTTTGAATCTGAATGCTTGCATTTTGAAAAATATCTAGTCAAATATTATGTGCTGTCATCATGACAGAGATAAAATAAATCAGTTATTAGAAATGAGTTATTAAAACTATTATGTTTAAAACTCTTCTTTCCATTAAACAGAAATTGGGGGTGGGGGGTGGGGGGGAAGGTTGCGAATATTCAGGAGGGCTAACAATTCAGACTTCAACTGCATATATACAGTTATTTTCCACCCTGCAAAGGAAAGAGAAATAAATACAATAGAATAAAAATATTAAACAAACTGTGCATTAAGCATCTTCACTGTAAGAAAAACACTTTAGCTACAAAAGTCCTTCAGTCAAAAGCAGAGAGGCATGTTCTCCATTTGCTGTATGATTAATAATCATAAAAACAGGCGGCAGCAGGATTATCGCGCGCTGTCTCTTTAATGGTTTCTCTTTTGGAGTCTTTTGATTCTCAACTCGTTTGTTTATTACACAAATGAGGGTTAATATGAATAATCACTAAACACCGTGTTTTGACACCTATTTGACTATTAAAGCGCTCACGTTAAGATGACTTTAGATGTGTGCGCACTCCTGTGTGCGAGTGAGACCGAATGCTGACTGCATGCTTCTGTTCTGTGTGTGCGCGGCACACAGAATCATGCAGTCTTTCGCGCTTTTAAGAGCAACACGTATACAACTGGAAAGAAGGCGGTAAATTATGCAGTAATCGTTTATGTCGATTAATGGTTTTTTATAATCGTTAGAAGCCGAAATCGAAATCGGATTTTCGATATATTGCACAGCCCTAGTAACTAAATAGAAAAATAATGTTCATTTCAAAAGAAGAACGTCACTTCTACCACGCTTTAAATGTGTTAGTTTTGGTTTGTGTCATTTTAATTGCTCAGTCTCGTTTCATTTTTCTGTGTTTGTGGTAAAGCAGGCGAGTATGAGCAGGGCAGAGCCGGATCCTCGCTATGACCATCAACGCTATACTGTTCTTTGTCATGAGCCGCAGTTTCAGTGTAAACTTAGTAAAGGTGAGCGTCTTTGGCAGTGATGTCAGTGTTAGATTTTACATTTAGCAGACGTTTGCAACACATTAAGATTCGGGTACCTTCTCCAACAACACTAGATTGACCTCGGCTGGCGGATCAACATTCACCACGTCATGATCGCTCTCATCAGCACCATTATTTGTAACTTTAGGTGGGTTTGTAAACCTGTGTGTTTTTCACTCTTTAGCCGTTTGTACTTTCTGCGGTCACAAAAGCCTTGAGTGATTGTGATTGACAGCTAACATGAACCAATATAGAGTGGAGGAACTATGACATCACTTTGTAGGCTAATCGGCTGCTAGCATAAAACTGGTTCCTTTGTGAAAATCCCTATAGGATTTTCCCATAGGGTTTTCGAAGATTGCGAATAATAAGCTCTGTGTTCAAACACTGTTCATTACACTTACACGTTTTGTTCAGCCGGATAATTGTCACACGAAAATACAACTTTGAGCACTTTCGGATCTTAAATGCAAACGCAAGAGTTGAAAAGCTAACATTAGGCTATAAACGGACTACAGAGCCCTCGGGGCGTTCGTCTGTGACGTCAGCCCCACCCTGCTACAGACAACTTATCAAGCTTATTTTTAGAAATAATGTCCATTACAAAGAGTTAATCTCTCTGTATATTATATTATAATCCAAGCTATATATTATAAACAAATAAATAAGCAAAAACACATAGACCTTTGTGCCTTTTGGATCGTTTTTACGTGGGAAATACATCTGTTTTGCTTTGCAGTTGTTCTAAAAGTTTTAAAATTGTGTATAAATGTGCCTATATAGTATTATTATAAGACATTTAAATAAGTGTATCGCTCGTGTGCACACAGCCTGCTTACCTTAAACAGACAACAGAAATGAGGCGTGAGGAGAAACAAGTCAATCAAATGCCTGCAAGTTCCATCATCATGGACACAGAGCAACATTCAATATTCCTTTTTTGTCACGAGGTACAGTAAAAAGCAGCTCATGCAGTCACATCTGCTGAACGTTTTATGGAGGAGTGTAAATACTGCAGTTACTGTAAATGTGTTCAGATGAAGAAAAAAAGACGAGAAATCACTTGATCACATTAAAATGACAGTTAACATGCATGTATTTTTACACACTTATTCACACGTTTGCATTACTGAGAGCAGGAAAGAAACAGGCTGCACTGGACAGCTGTATCTTTATAATATCATTTAATTAAAATAAATGATCAACAAATGAATCTGTCTCGACAGCCTTTATAAGTGA